CCTTAACTCCCGTTTGTTCTCTCATACACTTTGCTTTCTTCTTGTCCCTTGCGGTTACACCTATCATTTTCCTTTGCATTGTTCGCTGCGTCGTCCTCAACCTAAATTGAACCTTCTTTGTTTACTTATTAGTGCAACCTACATAACCCAAGTGGGCATTATTGTAGGGGAGAGTAATCCTCCGGGTTTCTGCTTCGTAACTAAGTGCCGGTAAAATGATGCTGTTATATACCTTCATCTTGAGGGATAGTGGCTGTCTGTTTAGAGCAGTCTGCCATTCATGATTTCTGAATGCTTGCCGAATGTGGTACACCCCATTTTTATTCTTCTACGTTACTTCAGTTAAACCCTTTCAGCTATTCTAATTACCCCCCTTACAGAGCCCACCTCAACTCCGAGATTTATTGTACAAACCACCCCTATAATGTAACAATGGGAGCATGGGAGCACAACAGATAGCACAGATATTTGTATAACAAAAAAGAACTTACTGAGAGAATGAATAACCCACTCTAAACACGGACATATATCCTACTTGTCCCAGCAGTCCTCTAATTACGCTTATTACAGCCGGGTAATCATGCATATTCTTAATCTCTTAATTATTATCAGGCGCTTCAAATCTCGAAACCACGATATGATTACGAGAGACGCCGTAGTAGAGGGCTCCGGAAATTTTGACCATCTGGTGTTCTTAACTGTACGCCGACAGCGCACGGTAGACAGGCCTGTACCATTTCACGTCGATCAAAGTGCGACCGCCACAGCCAGAATCGAACCCACGACCTTCAGGCCAGCAACCAAGCACTTTGTACACTGTTCCGCCATGGCGTACGCTTCCCAATTAGAGGAAAAAAAAGTTTCTAGCATCTGTGCTTGCTCCTCACGAAGAAGGTCTGCAGCGTGCATGTAGTGGTACTAAGGTGGCAGTTTTGGCAATCTTCATTTTGCAAAGCCCAATGCATTACGCATTACCATCGCGATTTGCTACACAAAAGACAGAGTAACAATGGGAGCCTAATGGACGGTAACACCATCTTGCAACATAGCGGAACTCTCTCGGTTTGCGGGTCACATTTCTTAACCGGAAACGTGTATCCTTTTTTCGCCAGCCACTTCGCCTCGAACAAAAAAGCCAAACGTTTACTTTCCCGAGTTTCACGCCTTCCAAAGTTTCAATAAATCCTCTCGAGCAAAAGGATCAGTGACACTTCTAAGTGAAACCCAAAGCCGACCGCAGTTTGTAAGACTACAACCCCGTAAAAGCCCGTAAGCTCCATTTTTCCTTCGCCGCGATTCCGTAAGAAAAAGGGGAGAGTGGGGAGCTCAATGGACGCCACAAACGAACCGCAAAACGCCGTTTATCGGGCCATTGTCGACGATCGTGTGCCTATTTCGCGGTCCCCGTTCGTAGCTATTGCGTCAGCCCGTCTTCTCGTTCTGGTCTGCGGTCTGACTTTTTTGTCTCACAACCGTTCGACATCACAGATCCTGCTAATCTCACGGACCGAACAGGTTCTCGTGAGGCGAGTTAGAAAACGGACATGACAAGTCTGTGGTTTCCTTGCCTTTTTTAGGCGCCTAGACTTCTGTGTATATATACTTTTCTTTCCTGTTCCCTTCGCGACGGTTTTCATAAAGCAGCGTGTCAAAAGGAGTTGCCTTTTTTGTTGATGATAACAGAGAGTGTCAGTCCACGGTTCAGTGAACGAACAAGCGATGCAGCCTGTCAGAAAAGGGGGCCTGGCTAATCCAGTCTTATTGAGACACTTCACTCCATTGTCGTGGCACTGTTTTACGCTCCTTTCTTCTCCCTTTCTTCACTGAGTCTATAGCTGCAGAGTCATCTTGTTTCGGGAAGTGACAGCTTCACGCTTCGCGCTATGTGGTTCGACACCGAAGCCACTCAGGCCTCTCGGGATGAAACCGGAGACGCGTTGTTGCGAATCGAGTGTTATAGTATTAATCGTGACTGATTCTCCGCGGAAGCTTGGTGATTGAAGTTGTCATCATCATCAGCACGAATAATCTCACTGCATGGCAATCGCATCTCCCACGTTTCTCCAACGAACCGTGTCCTACGCTTATTATGGTAACGTGGTCTCCAAAAAACTTCGTGTTCACATCTGCCCACCTAATTTTCTGTCTGCCCTCAATTGCTTACCTTTTCTTGACCTACAGTATATTACTATATTTACCAGCAGTTTTTAAGAGTAACAGACTGGATATAGAGAGAAGGTCAGTCGCTAAGGTGCCTCAGTGCTAATCTCTACAACCACGGGTTGATTGATTGCCCAGTCATGGCGGCCTCATTCCGATTGTTCGAAATGCCGAAAACACCCATTTGCTTGAAATTTAGTTTCTCGCTGATGAACCCGAGGATGTTAAAATTAATTTCTTGTCTGCCACTAAGACTTGCCTCGCGGCCATGTCTTTGTCATGGTCGATGAAAACCGAGCATTTCATTTTTTAATAAGTGTTTTACAGCAAAGTTGTAATGGAATAGAATAACATTATGGAAGGCTATCGAGGCATGATCCAGCACGTGGTCGCCAGCTTCCACTTTGGCACAGAAGGCCTACCCTTTCCGCCACGTCACAGGCGCGTTGAATTGCTCACAGCTGCTTTGAAATCCGGACTGCGTAGGGCACCATCCCATTTGGGGTGGGGGCGCCGAGTTGCAATGGTTAGGCCAAAATTTGTCCGTCCTTTGCACGCAAAAACTCCTAGAGCGCATGTGCCAAGGAAATCGGGTAAGCCCCACAGGTGGCACTGATTCACTAAAACCGAAAGAAACTCAAGGGCGGCAAACAGGTGTTAAGGTATTAAATCTAGCCTGCATGATCCGCCAATTCCCCTTAGTGGGTTGATACAAATCATCCAAAGATCATCATCATCATCTTAATTATCGTCATCATCAGTTTTCTTGACATACGTAGCCAACAATTCACAAAGGTTTGAATGAACCATCGGGACTAACCGAGTGATAAACACTGGTAATGCACGTTTGAGCATCGTGGGTTAACTACCCGCAAGGAGTGCTCTAGAATATGTTTTTGGAAGCCTTCACAGCGAACACAACTTTTCCGTACATCTGACATGCTACACACTGACTTGATATCACCAGCCTGTGACACTGAATGTCAATATCAACATTTTTTCTCCCCTATAGACTATCTTACGGATGGGTTTCAGTGCTACCATATTGGGCTGTTAAAGTTTGTGTTTTGCATCTTTAACAATTAAACGAAGACAAAGACGAATATGAATGAAAATGTTTTGGTTGGTACATGCGACGTTTTATGGCCTTATTAATTCACATCACAATATAAAAAAACAAGAAAACATTGCTTTAACAGCCCAAGATGGCAGCGCCCATATAGCTTAGGTTGAATAGTGTATAGAGTTCCGTTGTAAAGCGTGAGTTGAGATTCGGTATTTTTTGAGATTAAGTATCCTAATGACTTGTCGCGAAGTCACAACAAGAGGTTCGGAGGCCGCAGGGGTCGACACTAAAAAAAAATGAAAAAAAAGTAGTGAGAGAGCAATGGAAATTACCAATAGGCTGAGTGGCAAAAGTCAAGGAGAATTTATAAGGGACACATTCATAACCTCCACCCACTCATCAAATCATCGCAGACGAGGAAGAAGAATCGGAAGAGCCATGGCGGGATAGGCGTCAACCAACGGCAAAATTTCTGGCCACAATTACCATGATGGCACCAGCAGAACCGGCCAACTACCACCGCAAAACTACGAGCAAGGAGGGATCCCCGCAGGGCGCTACAACGTAAGCACACCATCGCACTCGTACGCTTGCTGAAGGCTTGTCATATGTATGAAACACCTCGATGTTCTCAAGCAAACTTCCATATCACTCCTGCTTTGCAACATCTCAGTTCAGCTAAGGTGTCCATACGTCCTGCGCCCCGCAAGACTGTCCTGAATCAAAAAGTGTTGTACCGTGTCCCATACAAACTACGAAACTAAAATAAATGTCCCGCGTTTGATACTTCATCTGTAAAGGACCCGTAAACCACCCCTTCTTCTCTATGTGCCTTTCGGCATTCCCCATCCCCTTAACATTCGTCGTGACATCAACATGTTGTTTGCTCGCCAACACCCCTTTGTCCACTCGTAGATGCACGCACTACCTGTTCGTCCACCTTGCAAGATGAGGAGGTACACCCTTCCAGCCGGAGAGGCAGACAGATAAGCGAAGGAAAAAGCGAAACGATTAAAGGCCTCTTTTGTATCATCGAGCACGTGTAACACCGCTATTACTGCATCGTTTCGGAAAATTCTCATAGGATTAGGATGTTGTAGGTAGCCGGTGAATCTAGACTTGCATATCTCACAGGCCCGGTCCTGTTTTTTTCTTTTCTAACTGTAACTAATGCATTTTTTGTTTATTTATTTGTTTTTTACTAAGCATGGGCAGGCTCTTAAAAAGATGTGCGTCGCGCGACGTAAGCCTTCCGTAAGCCTGGTGGTCTCTGTGCAATTCCACATGCTGTGTTGTGCCAGTACCTCTATGTTACTGCACCATACCCCAACATAATTGTCACTCATCACCAGTCACATGCACGGTAAGTAGAAAATTCTCATGACTACATATTTGTTGCAGACTTAGGCACACCTCCAACTCCCCGATTGAACTCAGACCGTAGAGTTGTTTAGGGGCAGTGCCTTGAGTTCAGTAGTATTGCTCATGAGGACGTCATCACATGATGAAGATTGGAACAAATGGCTGTGGACGTAAGGCGGTGAGCTAACAACAAACGGAGTGCTGTCGTTCGTTCACAATCCCATGTCCAGCCCCGTTAGGTGTACTCCTGCTTGTCATCCCGTGATGCATTTGTGCGTCACTGTCCAAGGCTCTCACCGTAATCTTTTACTCGACACACGTGTCTCAGATTCACCGGCCAGCAGCCCCACCCACGCTGAGGCGTCCGCAGTAACCGGGAGGAATTGTCGACGTGGAGCCGCCCCATTTCAAAATGAAGTTCGGAATCGTGGACGCGCCCAGACTGGAGCCGCACGAGTCCCATCATTCCTCGCCAACGGTGCCAGATCCCAAGAGCGCCGAAGGGTGCAGCAGCGAGTGCATATTTGCACAGGTGGGCAACATTCACTACAACAGCTTGTTACAACAGTCTGCGCACAAATGATTTGGCAATCGCCTTCCAGCGCAACGTGCGAAGGGTTAGACCATAAACGGAAACATTGAATAACGTTCCATGTTGTACGAAATGATCAAAACATAAACGCAGCGCACTCATTAGGAGTAGTTGCACACTGTTTAATTAGTTTCATAGCCCAAATTTTCACGTGCGAGTTTATCCTGTTTATTTATAGAAAATAAATCGCGGCTTCAGTCAATCCATCCTTATTCTATTTCAGAAGCTGAAGCAACATTGCGGCCAGGTAAGCCACTAAATCGTAACATTTGTTGATTAAACGTGTGAGGTTTCACAGCGTTCACATAAACTCATAGCCGCTTGTAAAAAAATAATGAACTGTTAAAACCAGCAAACATGACCGCGATGGGGCGTACCAGCGAATCAACTTCAGCCCCATGCATGTTCCGTTGCCCCTTCTGAAATCACCGTCTACAATTTGTAAATTACTACGTTGGCTGCTAACTGATAAGCAAGAAAATTGTCACTGCAGTTCGGATAATTAGAGCATTTCCCAATTTCCGTTCAGTGAAATTATTGCCTTGGGCGTTTTGGTTTCATCACTTTTTTTTGCTTATGCCTGCACTGTGTTCACTGAGACTACAATATCGAGGGCTAGGGTATGACGTCACTGCAGACGTTACAAGAAGCAGCTACGAGATTCAGTTCCGACGCACAGTTCTTTGGTTATCATAAATTATGTATGATTTTCCTTACCACACTGAACCACCCTGTCTGATACAGAAGTACCCATGCTATTAGAGTACAGCAATGCAAAAAGTTGGTTCTTATTCAGAGCCCTTCAACTGCAGTAAAAACTTACACCATCTCCGACTAAAGGGAGCCCATTTGAAACGGCACATGGGCTGACCTAAAGTTATAAGGTCTATTCGTCACGGGCACCTTGCCCGATGTTAACACGTACTTGCAATGCAAGTGGAGCACACCATGAATTCACCTGTAATTCCTGTTGCTGTTACCTCGTTCCCAACTCTTGTTGGCATACTTTCCTAAATATATACTAGAGGGAACTCGGGCCCTGTCTATGGAGCTGCAACGCATAGCGCTCCAGCGAGTATGAGAATTATAGGTATGTCATGAATTTGTCTAGTCTTCGTACTTTACGTTAGTTCTGGCTTCGCGTGGGTTGAAGCTCTTTGTCACGAAACAGCAATCGGGTAATGTTCGGCGGTTACGCTTCACCACCTTAATCGTTTAGGCTTACCACTTCAAATAGGGTTACGAAGTGATAAACGGTTTGTTCTTTCCTTCGAAAAAAACAACAACAACAAAACACAGCAATAAACAAAGCCACAAGTGTGATTCGCCACCTGCAAGCACGAAGACGAGACAAATCTTTGTCACACCCGTAATTCCCATGGTCACTGAAAGATCGCAGCGCCAGTGTCTCATCTAGTTATTTTAGGAAACTCTATGCTTATTGGAGCACGCCACGCGGATTCACTGCCACGCCACGCGGGAGCACGTAGGTTCATCGCGCGTCTGCAGAATCTCGTTTCCCGGCGCCTTCACGTGATCGCTGAGAGAGTGTAAAGGGAGAGGCGACAGCCTCTTACACAGCTACTTACGCAGACACGAACGCGCTAGCGCTTGCCAGCGCGTTCTGCATAGGATACAACTCGTTTGTTCAACGCGCGTCTACGAGATCTCGTTCCCCGGCGTCAACACATAATTGCGGAGACAGTGTAAGGGGCAAAGGCCACAGCGTCTTACCCTGCCCTTAACACAGGCCGTGATGCGCTAGCGCGTGAGCACGTTCAGGCAGTGCTTGGGCCAGCTGTTGCACATGCGCAGTAAGAGTGGTTTCACACGCCACATTTAGCTCCCCACAGTAAGCTGCTTCGCTTCTAAAAAAAATCACACCATCTGCCAAAAGGGCACCAAAAAGTGATGCAGAGCGTCGCGAGGAGGTTCAACGGTGTTTTTATCGGTGGCGTTTAGCGGTTTGCAGTGTCACCTTTGCGATCCACAATGCTTGTTATAAGGTTGTTAAGCTGGTTCGTTACCACGCATCTCGTGAACGGTGTGTTCACACACTGTGTTCGTGAACGACATAGCTTGCTCTCGTTATTTTGTATATATTTTTTCTCGGACCGTAAACACACATCGTTTGATTCCTGCATCTGTTCCCCTATGTACCTCTTTTGGGGCCTTTTAGGGCATTGTGAAATGTAGTGAAATAAAACTCTGCGTGGCCTTCAGGGCTGAAAGCTGCTCTTAACATCTTTACTTGGTTCCATACGTTGGCAGCATGCATACGAGCTTCCCAGACCGAATATACATGCAAGATTATAATATTTAAAGTGATACCACCATAGGTCGGCGAAAATTGTGGAGCTCCCTCAGACTCACTGATGAAGTACACTTTGAGCTTAGGGACTTACTCGCACTTGGACTCACCAACACTTTACCGAGCCGGACTTATACTCCGGAAAATTTCCTTTAACTGAGTCACTCGAGCTCAAACTCACCAAAAATATCACTCACCCGGACTCACTCAGACTCACACTCACGGCCCGATCTGAATCTGAGTGAGTCCAAGTGAGTCGCCTGACGAGTGAGGTCACCGAGCTGTCATACCACGCGAGTTTCAGTAGAGGCCACATCAAATAGAAAAGGTAGCGTACAGTGAGTTGCAGAAGGATTCGAGTCAAATGTCAATTGAACAATGAAGAATTTAGTTATATAAATCAACGGTTCTTTCTGCAAGTCTTTTGCCAGTGTGAATGCCGATACGTGCAGAGCCTAGCCATATTATGTTACGACTCCGCTGTAAAAGGACGTCGGGTCTTATCGCGGCTTATCTCGGAATCCTTCCGTTTTCGCAGCTGAGAAAGTACGGCGTGCCGGTGGCCATCACGCTGATTCCAAGCATCGGCGGTGCCTTTTCTTATCGCTACCTTCGCAGAGAGCAGCGTCACTGGTACGAGGTACGATGGCCAAAGCTGTAAGATCGGGTTGGGCTGCAGAAATTCTTGTTTTTCTTCCCCGATCGAACCACAGATTCGCGTAGTGCACTCCGAAGCTGCCGCGACATGCAGTTTCTGCACCCTAAAACCACGGAACACCGGCAGTTTCTGTCGCTATTTGTAGTTAAAGCCTTAAAAACTAAACATTTTAAAACTTTTTAAATAAATGAAGGTAACGTGGATGACTCACTTGGCGGCTGCAATGTCTACACATCCGCTCTGTCGAAGACTGGATGACTTGCAGCGCACGATAGGAATGGTATCAGTATTACGTGGATCAGACTAAATCTTGTCTTGGCTTCACTCAGCTTCGTGACGTCATGGACTGGTGTTCGCTCGCGAAATTCTGATTTCGGGTATTGCTTGAGCGTAACGTCAGCGAGGGACATTCCTTTGTGCAGCGCGCCGCTTCCGCTGTGTTGCAGCGCGCTGCTTGCGCTTGTGATTCAGGAGATAACTGATAGCGATGATGTTCGGAATATTGTTCTGGGCTGTACTGTACAATGATAGCTTCGATGGTAGCACCACGTGAAGTGATCCGGAGTGCGTCAACAGTGACGTTCAGTTCCGTATCCATGAATTTTTTTTCAGGGGAGGGGGGTGCGAGGGCACTTGTTAAAAGCCTTGAGAACCACCTATTTTTATTCGTCCTCGTTCAAACAGCCCCCTCCATCCATTTTTTTGAAGGCGCAAGGCTGGCCTAGAGTCACTGGAAAAATATTTTTCCCGTGACTCTGGGCTGGGCCCCTGCTACCTCCGCCTGACTAGGGGCCTAGTGAAGTTAATTTCATGAAGGCTCGATCTTGTGGCGTAACCATGGTTACGCATTACTGTTGCTGATGGGTGTCATTTGTAAATAGCTTGCAGTGACATCCCTGAAACGGCCACGTTGGACCACCAACGTGGTGAGACGCGAACTTCTGTGACGTCACGCTAGTGTTATCAGTACATCGCATGCTTGTTTCTTCGCTATTCATGTACACTTGCCCAATGACGGTCCAGTGACGGCATTATCACAACGAAGCAGATTGATAGCAACGTAATTGTAATGCCTTGACATCTAAGCCACCATGTCGAAGCAAAATCTGTGCGTTCATGATGTCCCGTGGAAACTATCAATAGTTATGGGGAGTTGCGCATTGCATTCTGAACAAGGTTGAATACGGGCATGTCAATGTCCTCCGTTTCCCGACTCTGATTGGCTCAGCGGGATTATACGGCCCCTCTGACTGGTTTAACGTAACATCACAAAATTGGGCAATATGACGTAATCCCACAGCGTGCAGTGTAATAAGTTTTTTAAAATGAAATATATAAATGAATTTTGCCAGCATTTTGCACGCCTGGAACAAGTCATCAGATTGATATAATCAAATTTACCTCACTACCTCTTTAAGAAAAGAAGTGTACATTTGAGGCCATCACGAAGGGTAATAAGAGCATCATATTTAAGTGAATCATTAATATTGATAATACATCTATAGTCCTATGAATATATGATATAATTAACTGCTGCCTCAAACCTCGAATCTTACAGCAGCTTTCGAGTCTTCGGTAAGACGAATGTCGAGGGATTACCGGAATCATCACTCCTTCCTCTTTTTGAGTACCCGTGAAAATAAACAACCAGAACAAAGCTGGTATAAATTTTGGAATGCCGTGTAGTTCTATATTTTAGTAAACTGGCCGCTACGCTTGGTACTTTTCTTGAAAAATAAATGGTGAGACCTTTTTTTTTCTCTTCCTGATTGGTTTCTGCGGTATAATATTCCAAAAAACCTGGCTAAATTTCAGCCGTCACTGCTGCTGTATGGTGTACTCCTCAGGCCTGTATCCAAGAGTGTGCCCTAGGAGCACGTTCCGCCCTCACCCAGAAATTAAGAAGGGTTGTTTTACTTATATATTTAAACTATTCCTTGTGTTGTTGTTTTTTCAAATTGTCAAGACCTTCAAAAAGTCGCCCCCCTCCCCTCCCCTGTCAAAAACATTCCTGGCTACGGGTCTGGCACCCCTACCCTACATACACATGCAAAGGAGTACCATAACTTCCGAAATCCCCTGTTATACAGTTTATTCCTAGTATGCGTGCTATAAGTTGGCAATTTTATTGCGCTGAAGGAATAAATGAGGCTGTTTCTATTGCTGCGGTCAATATGCTATCTTCCAAAATCTCAACAAGGTGAACGAACAAACAAACGAGTATTTAATAAACCAATCAGTGTTTACATGTTTTCAATGGTAATTTAGGACAGATCCTACAGACTATTGTGCGGCTAGGTTTCGTTGCCGCCATATTGGCCTGCTAACATTGCCATATGGCATATTAAAGAAGTAAACCAAGAGTGATACTACATGCGCAAGCGCATGAAAATGGTTCCGTTAGTGAACTCGACGTTCCATGACCGTATTCATTGACGACGCGATATAGAAAAATAGGCCAACATTCGTTTAACAAACCAAGGTGGAGGCGCCTGCGTTCGTTTCGCAAAATCGTCGATATCTCAGTAAACGTGCCACACTATATACGTGCGCGTAAGACTGAAGAATACTCCGAGACCGATCGACCGGTTCGCTGAACCTGCCCGGCCACAGAGTTCGTATGCAGGCACGACGTGATGAGTGCGCCTCCTGGCGGCAGAACAATGGACACGGCGCGTGCGGCGCCACGGGTAATGGACCCCGTATAACGCAGCTTCAGCCGGTGCGTTTGCGGGTGTGTACGTATATAACTCTGTTAAGGTGCAGACAATTCTGACGGGACGCATACGTCACATCAACGCCGCCATTGCCTTCTGCGTGGTCGCTGTAAAGTGTTCGTTTTATTAGCCGTGCATCCCGTGGCGGCACTAGCGCACGTGTTTTTCGTCAAGCCTTCCTGGTTACGCGCTGGGCGGGAGAAGCCTGGCAGCGCAGTAGTGTGGTTACGCACCGTAAACTCTTTGATTGAGAGGACGGGAGCCATCACGATCGGCGCTGGTCGGGGTTCTTGTATGCAGCGCCTGGATTTTCGGGCTCTGGGTGTTTCAGTTTACTTTGTCACTTCGTTCCGTGGGGGCGTATGCCTTTTTAGAGCATTGTACGAAATTTACGTTACACCGTTTGTTTCATACTTAAAATTACCAGTCAATGCTTCAGAAGCTATCCCTTAGTAGCATGCTTCTTAGAGGGACACTAAAAGTAGAAAAAAATGTTTTTTTTTCTCGTATTAGTAACGCACTAGTTCAAAATGCCAGAATGTTCGATCTTGCCACGAGAACAATATTGGTATGCGAAAGAAATTCGCGAGAATAAAGTGGGGCTAGCGACCCCACTTAGAAGTTCCCGTGCCTATCACCATGACGTGATAGGGGGGCTCTGCTAAGATTAACGTAATAACTACTAAGTGAAAATTAGGTCGTCATCATCAGCATAAGCAACACCAGCAGCACCAGCGCGTCCCCTTCCCCTCTCTCTCTCTCATCTTCTAAGCTTCCCCCTCTCTACGCCCACTGCATTGTGCAAAATAAGTACAGCCATAGTCATGTCTTTGTAGACTGCTTGAGAAGCCGGTTGTAGATGCGAAGCATCTTACAAGCTCGCTCAATCTTGTACTGTCCGCGCTTCAATGCGCATGCGCGTCCTCCCCTCTCTTCTCCTACGCTCTCCCTCTCTCTTCTAGCAACGCTGACACAGGCAGCATCAGCTAGCGAGTTTCTTGATTTAAAAAACGGACTGCTCGGAGTGCACAATTGTTCACTTGCCACCCTCTATATACATATGCACTGGATCTTCACCTCCAAGGTTGTGCCGGTGGGAGATTTCTCCTGTACGTTGTTGAACGACGAAGACTTGCAGCGAGAGCGGTAATTAAAAGCGGTCTGCGGGTCTCTGTCCAGCTGGAGTCTTCTGTCCCTCATTGCCCCATTAACGGCGATTGGCATGTTCCAGAAGGAAACACCAGTCCATCCCTGCGTGCTTTGCGCCTGCCCAGGTTTCTCTCCTGCGCAACGCCGCTATGATTATGCCACAGTCAGTATAAGCGTTTGTGGCCGCTGCTTCGCATCTACTCTTTAGCGGGAGATGGAGTAAATTTTTTTTTTTTTTGCTCTTTGGGGCGACATCTGGAGGCAGTTGCGGGCTGACTTGAACTAGAGGTCGGAAATGAAAGCGATGGTGCCGAGGAGGAAAATAAAAAAATTAAGAGGATAAATTATAGCACACTCTTGTATTGCATAGTATAGCAAGGGGAGGGGAGGAAAAGAAGGTAAGGTGAAAGAAAAAAGGAAGGGAAATGTCACTAGCTCAACAGCTCTCTCAGTCTTGACGTTGGAAATTTAATTGCAGTTTTCACAAAACATGATACATGCATGAAACATGAAACAAACATAAAACGAAGCATATTTAATATATATACATAGATACACTCTTCTTCAATAATTTAACATATACATTTTGATGATACTACGAACGAATAAATGAAAGTAATAATAATAATATTAATAATAATAATAATAATAATAATAATAATAATAATAATAATAATAATAATAATAATAATAATAATAATAATAATAATAATAATAATAATAATAATAATAATATTATTATTATTATTAATATATTATTATTATTATTATTATTATTATTATTATTATTATTATTATTATTATTATTATTATTATTATTATTAATATTATTATTCTTATTATCATTATATTATATAGCTTTCAGAACAAAGTGAAGTATTTTCCGAGAAAACATTCTTTTTTTGACTTTTTTCTTAATGCTGAAATAGTTGAAGAACATTTCTTAATATTAAATAATGCAGTCTTTGCACCACTATAGTGTATCACGGCCCAATTTTTGTTAATGACAGCAGTCCTTCTTGGAATACTTGAACGCAGAAATTGCAGCTTGTCTTTATATCTGTTTGTCAGGCGATTCAGCCCGCCGGCCAACGTTTAAGTCCTTGCTAAATGCCCAGCCATCCTGAACTGGTGGCCGCATGCGTTCATACTTGTCAACATTGTCGATAAAAAAGCAAATATTACGCATACCTGAGGCCCAACACCTATAGGTAAGTAATAGGTTGTGTTTCCTTTTACTAGGAAGTACGCAGATACGTAACTATAAAGATACTAATGCGTTTTATGTTGCGCTTGAAATGCGACGCTATGCAAAAGAAAAGGCTCTCTTCCAACGATATGGTGCTGCCCTCTGGCAGTAGTTCTGAGTTCTGCACAAGTTCGTGTTTCTTCACGCCGCACCAGGAGGCGTCCCTATCTCAAGCAGCGTCATATCTCACGCGGATGAGTCCAGGATCCATGTATTATGACCGGCAGAAGACTATCTTCTTTTTACGACATTTGCAGCGAAGCGCATATATACACGGCTTTTTTTTTTTTAATTTTTGCCCCTTACAAGAACTACCCAGTGCATTACTGCACCTCGAACTCGTTTGTTTCACTCGCAGAACCTTCGCAAACCGGTGTGGTGTCCCCGCCAGTGGCTCTTCTTCCCAGTGTTCAACGCGTGCTACGCCTCGATGGGGCTCTCCTCGTACATGGTGTACGCGCAGCAGGGCTTCCACGGCTCCTCCAGACTCGCGCTGCAACTGTACGGCACGCAGCTGGCTCTCGCCTGGTGCTGGGTACCGTTGCTCTTCGGACACCGCAAGCTTGGACTGGTATACGCCCCCGTCTAAACATTCTATGATAGCGTTGTCAAAGGTGTACACAGCTTTCTTGGGGAGCCGCTTTCCGAATTGCCTAAGAGGAGAAGGCGGGGGGGGGGACACAAAGTCTTCCCCATATTACACCTTAGAAGTGTTTTTTGTTGGGCTATTGTTAGTCACACGTTGTAAAAGGTAAAAACAGCGCGAAATAGACGAGACGAACAAAGAAACATACAGGAGAAGTGCTGACTAACAACTGATGTTTTATTGCTTCGACGCAATATAAAGGGAAAAGGGGCGGGTCAACAAGTCACGCGCAATTTCAAGCCATTCCTCACGATGGAATGTGTGGAAAATGTTAGTCGACAATTACAATTTTGATAGCGCACCTATAGGCACATGAGAGATCGTTCATTGCGTCGAAGCAACAAAACAGTTTTGTTGCATTGAAGCAATAACTGTTGGTCAGCGCTCGTGCAGTGTTTCTTCGCTCATCTCTTATATTTTGCACTGTTTTTACCTTTACATGGACTTAGTATCCACCACTTTTCATTCTGTCTTTTCGTGCAAGGCCTTGCTGGACTCTGTATTGTAAGCAGTAATTCTCGAACGCCCCCCCCCCTCCCCCAAAAAAAACACTGGTTTTCAGGTAAAACTAAGTAGCGTCACCTTCGAGATCACGTGCAGTCTCGGAAGTTATGCTTGTGGATTTAGAATATAATGACGTCTTATTCTTTTCTGTCGCGTAAGGTCATGCTTGTTCGTAAAATGTCTATCTATACCGATTGATTCTTATCTTTGTCTCTTTCAAGGCCTTCGTGGACTCCATGCTGTTAGCTGGGTTCTCCGGTGCGACGCTCTTGTGCTTCGCGCCGATCAGCGTTGGTGCCACCGCCATTTTTGTGCCCTCCTTCCTTTGGTCCGTCTACCTCATGCTCAGCTCTTTTTTCCTCTGGAGACGGAATTCCATCATCGTCAGCATGGCTGACAGAAACATAAATTCCCGACCCTTCCCAGCCACCATACGGCTAACTCCAACTGCATATTACTTGTACAGTTGGCCAAATTTTTAGCTATTGTGCATGAGTGCCAGTTCTTCCTCTATCTCTGCCGTACGACTGAATTAGCTTTCAGTTGAATTAGGCAAAAGTGTATGGCCACGAAGCACATGTCCACGAAGAAATTTTCTATAGCTTCGTCCCGTAGTAAGGCGCTGAGAGACAGAAAAGTGGCCGCTGCGCACAATAGTTAGTTTCATTCGCCGACTGTATGTGCATGTGACCGCGGAAACTATCTTTGAATGGTCTTACTCCGAATAAAGCAACAAAAAAAAAGCTGCTTCTTTTGCCAGGACATTTATACTGCCAATGGATTTATACTGATGAACGACAAAGGTATGTGCCCCTAATGCTTTTCACAAACGTGACATCACGAAATGTCCACTTTAAGAAACGGTGACAGATGCCACACGAAAGTGACCGATCTTCACGGTCAGGACAGCGCAGAATCCTTGAACTCTTGCGTCTAAGCATTGGGAACGCCACACGTTTAGTCGAACCACTTAGTCTCTCGTTTGACCTGCACGAAAGAAAAAAAAGTCGCAGTTCAATGAAGAAGCAAGTTCCAAGCCCAAAATATACGTAACTTCTCAAGGTGAGTAACCGGTCTAGACTTTTATATTTTTGGGTGCTGGTCACGAGCTTCTGAATCGAATGTGCATTATACATAACAAATATGTTATTGTTTTTCACGTTTTAACTTAACCACGAAGAGGTTTAGTTCAGCGAAAAACAGCGAATTCAAGGAGATTGTGTAGCGTGCTGCTCACTGTGCATACAGATAAAGTAAACGTAGCCGGAGCTTTTGCGTATGTGCGTTATTTTCAGAATAGACTCACTTTTAGTTGGGCGTACGTAACAAAACTGCTTCTACAGCACGGCTGCGGGAGAGAAGTACGTATCCCTGTGACCGCGCAACTTTTAAAATTGGCAAAAAACAATGTGGCGTTGGCACAATCTCGGGTGGGTATAAACCACTGAAAGTACGTACGTGCCAAGCATCTGCTCACAAAGCCGAACCAGGCCTAGTGCATACAGCAAGAGGATGGGAAAGAGTAGCGACGGCGAGGAAGAGTGATGCGAGGTTGAGGAGGAGAGAAAATAGGAGGGTAGACACATGGCAAGCATGTGTATAAGGGATGCGAAAGGAAAGTAAGGGTTAAGAGCTTGGTAAGGATGAGAAAGAAAGGAAGGAGGGAAGAGAGTACAGCATAGCATAGCTTTGTATAGCTGTAAAAGAGAAGTGTAGATGTTGGAGGGGGGAAAGCCATCAGTTCTGCGGTTTCCTCGGTCTCGGTACTACTAGTGCGTAGCTACCCCCCCCCCCAATTAGGATGAGCGCGTACGCACATTACGCCAAATGAGGACTCGCCGCCAGGGCTGATGCTACTGCTGCACCGCGTGCAGCTTCCATGGCAACCCATTCGCAATGCGCACGTGGGCACTGCGTGTTAAGTGGCTAGCCCCCGTATTCCAGATCGTCCCCTTTACTCAACGCTTCACCTTCACTTGAGAAAGCCGATAAGAGCGCCGTCTCTAGGCACGGCAAGTCACTGCATATCGGCGATAATCTTCTGCGATTCTTGAGTAGCGCAAAGTCATTTTCAGCCGAGCGGTGGCGCAGTGCTCAACTATGTCATGTGAAAGGTGGAAGCCGAGTCGAGGAGCTTTTGTGAATACAGGGGTAAGTGCTCACCATCTCCTCCTCGGAGGGCGTGAAGTTGTTTCTCATGCAGAGGCGCTTCCTCATCTCCTCGGTAGTCTTGGCTCGGATCATGTTGGCCACGGTCCGGCAGGCCGAGTTCATGAGACCCTTGATGTCCAAGTAGTCCGCGGCCTGTGAAGCCGTGTTACAATTGAGCTTTTGCGACGCATTGTAGGCAATCAGTGTTCCCATAAGCTTCCTAAGCTTTATTCCAAATGAAACTATCACAAAGGACCACTGTATCCTTACCTGACCTTTGACACGGGCAGCGCACTCCTACGAATCTCGAAGACAAAGGTGGCAGAGTACGCAAGGCCAAACAACTATAGGAGCTCCCCTTCGCTAACACAACGCGTAAGGGTACAGCACCAAATTTCTCTGGGCTGCATACCACTCTTAACGAAGTCCTGGCTGAACGCTGGCTATATCCAAGAAATCAGACGAAAAATGTCCGCCTTCCTGGCTAAATCTAACATTGTAAGCGAGACCCGATAAAGAGTGTAGGCATGTTTTAACTGTGTTTATGCGTGCACTTGGTTGCATGTGCACGTGTATACACACGTATGCGAAGTTGAAAATGTTTTGAACTGGAGGGGAGGGGGGGGGGGCAGTGTTGCGCATCCTGTGGCTGCTCCAGCGACTACGGTCAGTCGCCTGTAACCATGGTCGAACTATAGTCGGTCGCAGCGGTGGGCGGCCCTTCGACCATCGCCCACTCCACGGGGAACCTTTATGCACACATACATAGGCATGCATATAAATCGATGGGGGTTAGACGTCCCTCCTTTTATATATGGTAAAATTTCTGGATACGCCTCTGCGTTCCATCTTTTTTGTTCTTGGACTCCATGTAATTATGTTGTATCATGTATACGAACTGGCCAAGCTTACGTGCTTTTAAGGTTAAACACCGCCTTAATTACCATGATGATCTCGAAAAGCGTGGCCTGGTCCACGTTGAAGAACTCGGAGTCCCACGAGGACAGCGGCTGTCGTGCCCCAATGGCCGGGTCATCTTCGGCCAGCAGGAACCAGTCATTCTTGTGGTAGGTGGACCACTGCAGAACCTTCTTCAGCGTCGCCGTGTTCACGTTCACCAGAGGCACCACTTCGTCGTCGTCCGCGTTCAGTTTGCCGATATCTGCGTATGCATGAGCAGTTGAAACATGCAGAAACGGACGTTTCAACTTCGCTAACTTCAAACGATGCGGAGGGTTGAAGAGTGCAATGTTTTGAATGAGGTTTCTTTGATGAGACAGTAGCGGTGCCAAGCCTGAGATCAGGTACGTAGAAAAGGGTGTTTCCACTCCACCAATGTTTTCGGAAAACTGCGTTGTTTAGGGAAGTGTTCCAGCCTCACTAACGTCGTCAACTATTTGTTGGGCCAACTTGCCTTCTGCATTTTTAGTGGACCAGTGGCGAGCAGTGGGAACCCACTTTTGTGTCGTATACCTGTTTATGGTGGGCCGTGACGACATTAGGTGGCGACAAGCCGAAACTATAAGCTGCTTCGCACCTGAGATAAAACTGTTCTCTGGATCACAGAGTCTCTTGCGACTTTTACCCTTGGTGTTACAACCTCTTCGCTATTTGCGCTATCTCCGCCATTTCGGCTATTAATGGAAAGAGTGGAGGTTCGGGCCATTACGGTGACGCCATGTTTTGTGTATCTAAAAGAAGCAGACAGTTACGGTCGCTATGGCTGCCCCAACCAAAAAAGAGCCCTGGTGGTTTGTCGCTAGCGTTTTTAAAGCAAGTGACATGAAAATCAGGAGAAGGAAAAACGAGAAGAAAAGTGTGACGTATACAGTCACACTGATAAACTGCAATCTGATAAACCCGTGGACATGACTTCTTAAGCAAATTAAACGACAGGAAACTGTTCTATGTCAATGAAAACTCGCGTACTTGTCACCGAGAGTGTCTTCACCCGTAGGATACACTATAGCGGCTGGTGCGTAAACAAAAGAAACAGCTAGCTATCAACATGTTGGGTAGTGCGAGGCTGCTTAGGCTTAACTGCTTAATACTTTAGAATTATTTTTTACATATATACAACACAGTGAAAACAAAAGCTATACTATTGTTCTTTGGAAATCATTTGACAAATATGTGAGGCATTCAAATCTAGGCTTCTATTGACGGTGTTTTCCCCATATTTGCGATTAAAGCCTTCCTTTATGGACAAGAAGTTCTCCCTTCGAAAATGATGTTTTTGTTGCAGTGCTTTTTTTTTTCAGACTTTTCCGTGGAAACACGTGAAGTAAGAACTCCCATAGTCCATCTTCTATCAGCTACATTTCAGTTCAGTAGTCAAGAGGACCGCAACCTATTGCCGAAGTTTGCAACGTTTCCGACAATTCGGTCGTATTTAGCCAATAATAGCTAACGCCCTTGTTTCGCCAAGGATAGCCGCACTCCACAGACCACAGATATCCATCAGACATTCAATTTAATGCCGAACGTCCACGTTTGGAAAACATCTATGGCACGTATTCAGATAGTATGAGTGTAAAGCAAAGGAAAGAAGAGAAAAAAAAACATACACAAAAAAGACGAAGTTATTTCGTTTGTTACAATCTTTGGGCGTTACGTCCCAGGACCACCATATGAATATGACAGACACCGTAGTGGAATGCTTCGGAAGTTTTGACTATCTTATTTTGTAACGTTCACTGACGACGCCTCTGACATTTCACCTTCAACGAAATGTGACCGCCGCTGCCATGATCAAACCCTTGAACTTCGGGTGACCGGCTTTTGCTGTGAAAGGATAATCAGCTATGGTGGCAATGCCAAAGCGAAGTTTCCACACCGTTTTGCGCCGTGACGTCATTGTCAGCAGGGGTCTCAAATATTTATCGATGAAAGTTAATCACACCGTGTTCTAATGAAAACGGACCCTTAGCGTAGTAAGTTTAAGAAAAATATTGTCAGAAAAATGTTGGTCAAATAACAAGAACGTTGAAATCCGTGGCGTCGCACTAATGTTGAAGTGCTGGACATATTCAAAAATGAAATGTTAGCGTTCATTATCGTATGTGATGCTGAGCGTACATGAAATTAGCAGCAGTGGAGTTAACCGACCCTAACTTACGAGTTTTTATACGTGAAAGTAACTACGTGATATGCCGTAAGTTAAATTAGCGTAAGTTCGAGGCTAAATAGTTGAAAGATCTCGCAGCTGCCCTATGAACCAATGAAATCCGCTTCTTGCGCACGACAGCGTTAGGACAGCGTGGTAAATTATTCATCCCATTTGTCTTAGTTTCTTTGTTTAATGCGTGCTCTGTGAAATCGTTTTGATGAACCAACAAGTTAATTAACGGACGTGTATACCACTGGTATGAGGTCAGCACCTGCAGTTATGCGACATAAAATGTCTTTTTTATAATTTCATGCAATATTTACTAAAAGGACCTGTGGCGCCGCAATCGTCCAGCCGCCATTAAAATTGTAGTTTTTGTGTTTGCAGTTTCGAAATGCCCTTTTGCTTATTGTTGTGTTCTGGGTTTTATATCGTATAAAAGAATGACCCGTTCTGAACCACGCGAGCTTGCTGAACTCATTCGATCGCTTTGCCGCAAAGACATTAGAGTACAAGCTCCATCCACTTTATTATTATCTAATTCTATGGCTTTTTCTTTGTCTATGCCAGCATTTTGAGCAGCTTATCATGATAGTTAACGTGTAAGTTCAGTTACCAGCCAGTCCACTCTATCACAAATGCAAATTCCGTACTTTTGTTGCTCTATACGGACACTGAGCAGAAACAATAAGTTAGTTTAAACTGCCAAGTTTTGCAACAAAATTCCAGTACATTATATTTTCGTCTTATTGGCTAAACGGAATGTGATGGCACTTTGTATTATTCTTTGGATCCCTCAGTGTACCTCATTCTTCATTAGGAACGTAGACGCCGTCAAGATGTACGACGTCGCGGCTTTTGCAGCGGGAATTTCAATGTAGCGTCCGAACCCACATTGTCTTTTGGAACCGTTTTTCGCTTACGAAGCGCCTCCTTACGGTGAGCGCGGCGGGTTTGAAATTGCGAAAGACCAATACATTTGAAAGAACGAGAATACGCACCTTCCATCATGGTTCGCAGCGTTCCGGACACCATGGCCGTCTGCAGATCCACCTCGAAGATGTGTCCCTCGCTACTCTGCAGCTTCATGGTGTTGGACGGCGAAACAGGAGACGTCGCCTGTGTCGACTGCCGCGGCGAGGGCCGAATGACGGTTGACGTGACGTCGATTTCTATGCTCGCGAGGCTAGCCGACGGCGAAGTGTCGTCGGCCGCCTGCCAGGCGTTCACAATTTCTACGGCGGCGGCGTCCGGAGGAGAATCTCCTGGACTCTCGGGACCTTCACTGCCGGAATCCATAATTTCGCGACACTGAGCCCGCCGCCGGTATTATGGCAGTTTACCAATGCGGGTAGTGATGACGATGCCAATGGGATTACTGGCGCACACCCACTCAAGTCCTGAGGATCGGTCATGTGTCGAGTGGGTGATGACGATATATGGATGAATAACTTTAATTTAGCGCCACTTGCACATTCGGTACGGCGAGCGTGAGTCATATGGGTGACCGCTAGAATGGAAGATGTTATGGGGCGGCACTGCCGATGGACAGCCCGGGACGACGATGATGAAGCTTATTAATAGCCGTGAAAGACGCGACTTGAGCACAGTGGGCTTCTCCCATGTTGGGAAGTTCAGGCTAAGTCTGAAAACCACATCGCGGGCTCTCCGGACGGCCCCAAGCCGATCGTAAAGCTTTACGGGCGAAGCATCTTGGGGTCTATGGAGGGTGCTGACACTCCCTGTAACGTTGTTTGCGCTGCGTGGCGCACATGTCTCGCCCAAAAGCCGCACTTCGGGTTACAACCACCGGGTGGTAGGTGGCGTTGTGTTCGCGTTGGTCACCACTATCATCATCATGGTGTAGCGCCGGTGGTGACACCTGGCGGAAGGCAAGCCTCGGTGGCGGGTGAGAGTTGAGCGAGTATCTTGTGCGCGTGGTGGTTGCCGCGAACGGTTGTCTCTAGCGTGGGTACCCGGTGCATGGCACCGCAGACTGCGCATGGGAGCCCCTCGTGGCAAGTCAAGCATTGGCGACGCCACCTTGAGTGTGTTATTGTGTTTGTCATGTACTGGAGTGTATGGTAGTATTGTGTAAGGATGTCTCAGCATGTTTGTCACGATTGATTTTATAATAATTTCACTGATGATATTGTCGTTCTAAATTAGTCAAATAAATGTGTGTATCATTGCGTTTGTTCTGACCGTATCTGCTGTGTCCGTTCACTCCAAGAGCGTGGCGTGGCGCTCGCCAAATCAAGACCCCACAGGTCTACTAGGTTTGTCCAGTGTATGTTGTGTGCTCCGGCATAGCACATGGAAGTTACATACTGTATGCCCATTGTACGTCACCATGGCTCAGCCTATGCAAGGTATCCCCTATATGCGCACAATAATTTTTATGAAGAAGGAAAGCAGCCACTATGCAATTCTGCTGAAGGGCAAGGTACTCACTACACATCTGTAAGTCATAATGTGTACTTTACACTGTGGTTGATGACGGTGGAGGAGAGTGCATTGCGCACCACACAAACAAACGCACAAGCAAACAAGTCCCTTCCGCTGCCAGTGGTGCTGAAGGGCAAGGTACTCACTACACATCTGTAAGTCATAATGTGTACTTTACACTGTGGTTGATGACGGTGGAGGAGAGTGCATTGCGCACCACACAAACAAACGCACAACCAAACAAGTCCCTTCCGCTGCCAGTGGTTGCCAGCAGTTGTTCCGGGTCTCGGCAAGCTCACTTGCTGCGCACTGAGGCCAAGTCGAGTCATATTGACTATGCGGAAGATTGAATTCATCTAATAAAAATGTATCTTCTCCTTTTTTTAGTCACAAGTTGACTCAACTAGCACAAGCTGCATACACAAACGTAGCCACCGCCGCTAAAGAAGATATGTGTGGAAGCAGTGGGAAGACTACATAAAGGGATGTTATGGTGGTATGCCATAAATGCTGGCAGTGTTACAGACCACATTGTTACAATAATGGTGGGCTATTCGGAGCAACTGCCTAGCCACAAGCTATAGAAGACAGAAGAGAAACAGAGTAGACTGTGTTGTGTCAACTTTATTCATAGTAATAAATACCCTACATACCCACGACACATGTACAGCCAAGCACCGCAACACCTTGCTTCATTTGTCCCATAAATAACATCACTCACCTAACCACACTGCCAAATCATCCTTTCCGGTGACTTCTTAGAATGCGACTATTGGCAAGACAGGCACATTGACAAAAAATTTTGTGTGCCAAGGAATCGGTTAAAACAAACATTGAGAGATTAAAACAACGTCTCAGGAAATGGAGGGCTCTAAAAAGAATGTTTGGTAGCATATAAGACTGGAGGAAAGACACAAATGCTGTTGCGCAAGCAGCACATATTATAATGAAAATGACAATGAACAGCCCACATTAACATTCTAGATAACAAGTGTTAATACTACTGCAAGTGCTGAAAAAAACAAAAAAAAATTGGTTGCTTTTTTTGTGAGACTGTCTTCAAGTGCATTATGTAGAAGCGCAAAACTGAATGGCTGCAGCACCTGCACATGGCCTTACAACTGCCACGGCCGCTAGATAAAAAGGAATTTATGTAGCAGCCGTGCAACTTCTGTGAGATATGTAAAGTTAAGTCTACGGCTTGTTTGAAATAAATCATAGTAGTGTTGCAACTGAATTTCTTTTTATAAGTAGTTATGGATAAACCAAGCATGCATGTATTACGGGAGTAAGCTGAAAAACTATAGTAACCCCCTATTGCAAGTGTCTACACATGTCTGTTCGCACCCCTATGGCAAAATTAAAGCCCTTCTGCACGCAGTGACACCCCTGTACAAAAAGTGCAGCGTAAAATATGAAAGAAAAAAGGATTGTGCAAAATTTTACCACACCATTTTTCCTGGAAGATAACTTGTCCCAAAGAAGCTTGCTCTCCCCTTACCCACAACATTGAGCACGGTGAAATCTGATTGCCAAGGAGCAGGATAAGAAAGTAGGAATGTTTTGGAGAGATCAGTAGCGTTCTGAAGGCCCATGCCGTGTACTATACAGCTGAAGCTTGAGAATAGTCACACTAGTTACGCAAACAAACACATTGAAATATCTGCTTGCGACAGTGACTTGGGATGTGTTACAAGCACTGCAGTGGGAAGACATTTGGCATGTACGTTAACTTCTTGAAGTTTATAAAATGCCAAGTTTACGGAATACCAGAAAATTTAAAGCACAGACGACAGCTGCTGTGCATTTAATGATTCCTAGCTTGTCCAGTTCTAAATAAAACACACCTAAACTTTGAAATGATGAACAGGGAGATAAGAAATTATTGGTTAAAACAAAGTCATTAATAATTAGTCTTGCTATAGATACAGTGCTCGCAATACACTTTTATAACAAGTTTTGTGATATAACAAACTTATTTTCAAACAAGATGCACCTTCGGTATAAGGAGGTTTGGGTGCAAGTCATTTATATCTGTCCTTTCAAGATCACTTTAAAATAAAATGAATAAAGCATCATAAAACTACAGACATTTCCATTTTTGCATGAGCTATTACAGCACTTGAATAGTGCAAAAGCGTATCGTGCTCTGGATGAAGTCAGATGTCATATGATGCCAATAACATAACTGCTTCTCACATAACCTCATGCTTCTTTACCATTACTATACCAGCGGTAACATGTACACAGAGTGAGGTAAATGTAATATCTAAGAAAAGTATGCCCCTTCCAGCATTGAGAGATCTCAAGATTGGCACATCATTAGAGCTCGACTGTTTTCAACGCACCACTATTCGAACACATAAATTCTTTGAAGTCCCCTGCAGCCATCTGTGCGTAGAGCCACAACAGAAAAAACGGTTGCGTAGATCGACACTGTCGCACATGCAACACAGTTGAAATCACAATTTATACATCATAACCTAACATAACATTCAAATTCATAAAAAACCTAAAAAGTAAGGAACTACACAATATCTTTATCAGCTTTCTCATCAGGTGGAAGCTCATAAACAAAGCTCAGACCCGTATCACCGAACTTTTCTTCTATCCAGGCATCCATCTGGGAGTTCATCTCTGGCGTAAGGTAGTTCTTCCAGTCGCCAACGATCCCTGGTCAACAAAACGGAAAATGCTGCAATTGTGATGCCACTTTTCCTTACCACATAAAGCATAATTGGAGCTTATGAGCAGGCATGTGGACAAATATATATGACTTTACAATAGTGGATGTTCAAAATTTACCGTGACATTCATCAACAAGCACGAACGTTCAGTTTACCTTCTGCTAGGAGTCAAAAATGAAGCCAGTTGTTTATCGCAGACTTCAAGGTGCTAACAACTGGTCTTCTTTCTTAGATCTGCAATGACTTCTCAATGCTTTGTGAGCTACTCAGGCAAGGAGGAAGCCATGGCAATGCTGGGAAAAAGGTAATGCTGATTCTAACTGAATGTGTGTGATACCCGAAAGAACAAAAAGCCCCAATTCAAGCTTGCTTCATCAACAAGAACAGCACTGTGGTTCGAGTGCTCTTCAACCTCAGTTGTTATTTCTTTATGTAATTTAGTTGCTCTTCAACCTTAGCCGCTATTTCTTCAAGAAATTAGTTACTTTCCAGCAGTATAAACTAGAGTTGACAAACGAAATTTCTTTATACACATCTTTAAACAGATTATCATGGCACATATCAGAGATATATAGGTTAACATTAGCTTGGCGGTGTTCCTAATAAACCAATGAAAGTTATGATTTACATATGCAAACATGTGTTTGTGCACAAAAAGCTGGCCTAAGATGACAAGCATCTGAAAAAATCAGAACCAGGGACGGCGCTGTGTGTGTCTATGAAAAAGCAGTGTCGCCACAAAAGACTCTATTAGTCTCTTTGCAAGCTTTGCAAGCCCGTTTGTCCTGAAGTACACAGTCTGTATGCTGTGCCTGCCTTTCATTTTACACACCCTTGTACCCGCCCTCCCCTTTTCTATTTCTTTCTTCAGTGATCTTGTGCTGCGAACACGTTAGGTTAGACATCCGAAGCTCATGCAGTGAATGGCTTTTAGTTAGGTAGATAACTGCTTTTCTCTTTTCACCAATGTGGGCTTTTCTACAGTGTTTGCCATAGAGCACTGTAAGAAACTCACATGTACAGGAATAAAAAAGAGCCAGAACAACAATACTAAATCGCTGTGAAAGATTAAATTCACAACACAGCATAAGCAACCAGTGTATAGTAAAGGAACATTACGTAATCGGGCTGCTCTCCTCGTATGAAGTTGAAACACATGATAAGTCTTCTTCCTTGTTTAGCCATGCACCATTCACAAACTCCGAAACATGCCATTGCCAAGAGTGTAAAGACGCCTATAGCTGAAGAAATGAGCAGAGGAATCGGCACAGCATTGCACAAGTAATCCAGAAATAACGTGGTGTTGATACCTGACATGTGCTTAAGATGCGTGTATAAAGTCGCAATGGTAAATATAATGGACATATACTCCCGTTCAACCTCATCTTAGAAGCTTGAGAGAAGGAGGTCCTCAGCAACGAACAGCTTTCTTCAACGGAAGCCTCAGAGTGAAAGCTAATGTCACTGTAGAACGACAGTTCAGCTTTGCAAAGCGGATGCGCTGCTTGCACTCGTTGTCTTGATGCGTTTTTAAGCACGCGGGAACCTGATATTGCGTTGTTGTCCATTTGTGGCAGTACACTGAAATAAAACTGATGATTTGGCCCTGGATCTCAAAAGGAAAAGCCAGAATGTTTTGTTCTAAAAGCCCCATCAATGACTATTGCTCACACTCTCCATGGCATCTTTTTGTGGAGCTGCTAGCAGATAATTGTGGCATACAGGCCCAGTGTTGACTGACCATCAATCATTATGAATATTCCCTATTGGCTAGTGTTGATTGTGATTCTTCTCTATGTAAACTAAGTTGCGGAAAGCACTATACTCATATAGCAAATAGTGAGCGGCAACATCATTGGTGTTGTTCAATAGCAAAATAACTTCATTTGTTACAGCTACTTCAGAAACAACTGTGACAGCGAAAGCACTCATTAAAAATATATGTGCCTGTACTGTGACCAAATGATGTTTGTGCAGGCATGCATAACTTAAGAACACATTCGGCACCCCATTTCACTCGTGCTATGCCTCACGGTATAGTAAATGCGCTTCACTGCACCACTTTGCAATCCTTTACTGTAGAAAGCTTTGCTGCCACGCTGCAGCAAATCTTTCTACAAAAAAAAAAAAAAAAATCAATGCGATAGCAACATATTCCAATGTTTTGTGAAGCAGGGTTAGCATTTTTGGGAGCAATATTGATCGTAGTAAACATGCGCTTGCTACGTAACCAAGTTTCCTGTGGTGCGGCCACAGTAGATTACCACAACAAGGCTTGTGCGTAGTGACGGCATTGATATACGTAGTGAGGCTGGCAGTCAACTCATTTAGATCAGATTTCACGTAACTCGACAAAACACTAGTGTAAGAGATCACGGCCTCTCCAGGTAGACTTTTGGCACCGTTTTTTCCAGTTGAGAGTGCAGCCCGTAGAAGCTCCCGCTTGCTGTGGGGGCACAAGGCGCACGCTGATCGTCGCCACAATAACGTGGCAACCTTGAGAACCCCCCCCCCCCCCCTTGTTCGCTGGTGAGATAAACGCACACGCAAACGAGCCAGGCTGGAAAGGCGATGTTCGCTCTGCAGAAAGAAGAGGCTAGCGCATCCTTTCCTGTATATATATATGTGACGTATGAAGCGATGGTTGGTAGATGCAGAGAAAGAAGAAGTGCGGAATGGAAAAAACATGGCGTATGAGCCAGGCCACGTCGCCCATTCATCGACAGGATGAAGACCTGGCCACCACTCCTCAACCTCACATCATTCACGAAGCCACCTGCAGTATGCCTCACCTGAATATAGACCACAGAAGAGGTGATCTCAGGTGCATTCAGTTACCGGCATCATGACAGAACCATCGACAGACCTTCCCATCCCCAAGTACACTAGAGCAGCGGACGATGGACCTGTGCAGGACTGGTTCGACCTGTTCGAGCTCCACGCTACCGCTGCATCATGGTCGGAATGGGAAATGATCACCAACTTTACTGACTACATCTCCGGTAAGGCATTTAGGTTTTACCTGACACACATATTCGAAAACGACGAATCATGGCAAAAGATCAGGGAAGAGATGATTGCCTGTTTTAACGACTACAAGGACTTCCTCATTACCGACCATCTGCATACAACCACACTCGGCCGTCACTGTCCACGCTTATTTCTCAAGAAACGTAGCTTTCCACCAGGTTTCTCTTCACGAAAGCCGGTATTTTCGAAGTCGTCGCTCCAGCACACGACACGAGAAGTTGCTTACCCACCTTATGCACTTCATTTTTCGTCTCGCATACACGGTCCACCACCCGGTTTCCCATCACACGGCTCTTCAAGCGCTCCTGACGCTCACCGTTTGCCTTATAAGGACACCATGTTCACGATAGACAAGTTGACACACCGAGAAAATACTCAGTCGAGCCATGCTCCTTCCGCACGGGTTCATGCATCACCGTCCTGTGCATACACACTTGACAGTCGAAGCAACACCGAAGGCTCAGACGCATCGAACGTCACACGCTGCCATGCGCAAGAGCCTCTCGTAGTGAACATTGTACAAAAAGCTTCTGAAGAACTTTCTATCAACTCTGAAGCATCATCTTCATTGCCTGAACTGCATGACAACAGCCCACAGACTGCCAGCTGCCGACTGGACTCCATCAGGTTGTGATGAAAACCAGCGCGATGTTCATGAAGGGCTTCCACAGCAACGCCAGCAAAAGCAAGTCCGTGAATCGCAGACACTCCAACAGACACACCAACAAGTATGATGACACAAAGCAAGCCTCTTAAAACAAATTCAAGAAGCGAGGCAACTTTGCATAAGGGATCAATGCCAGAAACGCATATGGCACAAAATATCAAGACTGCGCCTAAGATTACAGCTTCGAAACCTCAGGAAACACCGAACAAGACAAGAAGTCACCATTTCTACCACGCAAAGATCCAGACACCATCCCATTAGTTTACGACAACGGAGCCAACGCCACAGAAAACTACGAAAGAGACTGAACGTTATAATTTCTACAACGCACGAACATAGACATAATTCCTTGAACTTCAGTTCTTGTACACCCAGGCTGCAAGCACTAATTCTGTCTCAGTCGCGACACAGAATACAGCGCGTACGTCAGAGGATTCGGCGCCTACGACATTCGACCTTCAAGTGCTCCAAAGACTTCCAAACTTGTTCGTTCCTCGCAGCTGCTCAAGTCATGTCATGGTCAGTGCAATTTTGCAAGACGCGGTTACCTTCTCCAAAACGCCACAGCCAACCTCGGCCACCAGAACTCCCCCATTCACCGGACTGTCGCAATCTTTTCTGAAGTTTTGCGAATTCACGGAACAACCACTGGGACATGAAACCAATTGTGCATTTTGACATTTGCGACTTTTCAACCTTGCCTTGTTTACTTTTTCTTGTTCGTAATCCATGCCTTCTTTCGGGGAGGGGGGGGGGGGGGAATCATGTGATGTATGAAGCGATGGTTGGTAGAAGCAGAGAAGGAAGAAGTGCGGAATGGAATAAACATGGCGCATGAGCCAGGCCACGTCGCCCATTCATCATAGCGTCACATATATATACATATACATTAATGATGGCGACGGTGACGGCAAAAACCCGCCGAGACAGTCCATATAATTTCTATTGCAATAAAAAAACCGAGCATGACGCAATGCATGTATTAAGAACCTGCCAGCCATATTATACAAAAAACATAAAAGAGTGGAATGCTATTCATGGAATACATAGTGAGTGTGTGCACTTATTACAAAGGTGAACCATGTTCACTTAGATAATCCTGGTCATGTTTGCAACAGCAATCACAAGAATTACAATCTTTAATGTTTAGGCAATCTGTGCTTCAGATTTCTTCATTTTTCTCCGTAAATTACACCCCATTTATTGACCTCACTGGCTAAACTTTAACCGGTACTGAAACGAAAAAAAAAAAAATGTATGACAGTTGAGCATGTAAATAAAGTAACAGACAAGTTAACAGTTACTTTATGAGTAGAACTTGCCACAGAACTGATAAGTGCTACATTCACAAGCAAACCATTTGCCTCATAATGACCTATAATACAGGCAATGTTTGATCACTATCCTCAAAGTCAGGTTCACTATACTCAACATAGGACCATTACCTCTCCTATGTTTCTCCAGTTGACTCTTGTTATGCACCTGCTATTGCTACAAAGTGCTTCATCTCAACTTCTCCCTGCCACACTAGTCTTCTCTCTAGGAACACAGTCTGTCACTTTTAATGACCATCAACTCCTGTTCATTGGAACGCACGTTTCCCATCAAGAGTTTCAGTCAACGAGATCATGCTGTACCACAAAACCCACCTTTCCTCATGAAGCCTCCTTCCTGAAGGTTTACAAAGCCGAGTTTGCGCCAGTGCTCGTAGTTGGCTGCTGGGTTGTGCGCCATGTGGCTGAAGTTGCAGTGCTCTGCAATGGCCGTCACCTCGTCGTCGCGCAGTGGCTGGCCCAGAAAGAGGGCTATCCTCTGGATCACGTTGCAGGCGTCCTGGATGTGATTAAAATTGTGTGACAACAGAACGTGTTGTCATAAACTGCAGCCCTTGTCACAGTGTGTTCACAGGTTCAGAAATGAAAAAAAAAAAATCACAGCATATCTACGGATTATGAGTAAAGCGAAGTGTTCGTCTGTCTGTCAGTGGGCCCATCTGTCTGTCTGTTCGTATGGCTGGTTACACCTGATGCAGGACAAGGTTAGACTAAGAGGAGCTTCACCCCTAAAACATGTGTGCCTGATCTGTTTCACAGCTGTCAAACCAGCCAAGCAGTGAGTGTAAACGTATGGAGACATGCGGAACACAAGTGGCTGGTTCATTTTTCGAGCAAGCTTTGTTACTGCAGCAGCTGCTGCCTATGACTGCTGTATGAACAGTGGAAGTAGTCACAAATGGCTTAAGATTCGACGTCTCCTCAACAGTTGAATGCCACAGAGCTTTTGTGTGAAGCACACATCTCAAACTGTCGAAGGTTCCGACGGCTTTCACTTCGGGACCTCTGAATGTACATTTATAAGTCTAATTGTATTTTTTTAATAAAGAAAAAAGATTCGCAGTGCGGAAATGGCTGGCGGTTTCATAGTGAACACACTGGGACTTGATTGCACTAGGGCAGATGTTCTTTACAAAGCAATAAGAGTCCCGCTGCAAAAAAATGCAAATCAGTGAAACAGCCAGTACACACACACACTTGGAGCCTTTAGAGCAGAGTGGAGTGGGCACTACTTCACTGAGAAAAGTGCTTTAAAACTTCTCACTACTGATTACTCACTCCACCTGACCATCTCACAGCTGAATGCTATGCTCCCACAAAACACGCAAAAGCTTTCCGTAGGAAATGTTTCAAGAGGCAACAACATTGGATGACAGACATTTTTAATGCTTTATTTAGTGGTCCATATAAGCTTCCCAAGAAGCCCATTACTACAAAGACCTTCAAGTGTTCAAACCAGAAGCAACAACCTCCTTTTGACATAATTCTGAGAGGGTTTTACCTTGTGGAGATCTTCATAAGAGACAATGAGAACATTGGGGTCATTCCTGTGTTCCCACCATTCGAGATAGTGCTTCCAGATTGGTCCGTACGACACTGAAAGAAAGATAAAGCTTGCTGGCTTCTCTACATCACTTTGTATTTGTGTCGTCGTGCTGCACCATGACAATTTACAAACGACACTTTGTCCAAAAACAAGTCGTCCTGTCCAAAATCAAGGCCTGCATGCTAACCTGACAAATGTGCTTACCATGTCCCTTGAGGAAAGATTCAAAGAAATCCTTGAAACTTCCCTCGTATCCCGTCTCTTTGATGAGCCTTGTGAAGTGGTACAACGACACACACACGTCCTTGGGATTCCTCATAATGTAAATAATCTGTGAAGCAAAAGCAAAGATTCTGTGAACACATATTTTTGATAGCGAGAGGTTTCATTTAACGCGCATGCACTCAAACCTCAATACAATGAACCCGAATATAACGAAATACTGCTTATAAGGTAGTAAACAAAAAATAGTCTTGCAATAGATAGTGTTAAGAATAAACCTTTACAACCAATTTTCTTATATAACAAACTTATTTTTGAGTAACATGCAAATTTGTTATGAGGTTTGGGTGCAGTAGTATTCACAACATAGTAGACATCATTAATGCACACAGTAAAGTCCCATCCAAATACTGTGAATGTCACCTTTCATGCTCTTTGTTTCAGGTTTTACACTGTTGTGAATGAAATTTCCCTATTATACTTTAAATTTTTTGTACTTTCCTGTACACATATTACACGCTATGGTTACTGAGAAAATATTGTCGTATCACCATGCCCACAGCTCAATGAGGTCACATTACCCGCCCATTTTTCGCTTCCTGTGCCCGACTTCATGACAAAATGTAACCTTATCTGGTTAAAACAGTTGTGAGCATGAAGGCGAATTGAGGCCATCCAACGTACAGAGCTGGCAAAGTCGAAGTATTCCAGTGGTAAGGTTTCATTCTTAATACATTTCTTGGAGGTGAAAAACACCTGCAGAGAAAAACAACTGATGTCAAGAAGATGGAACGATGAATCAGCCCATCCTATAATTTTTTTGGACACAAGAGCATTTTATACCAAGGTCCACAAAGACTTCGCTGACATCATTTCCACCGCGGAAGTGACATCAGTAAAATGTAGAACAGATGACAAAGCGAAACCGGAAGAAAAAGTTACGTCGACTTGGATGAGCTGGAAATCAAACCCACGACCTCTCAGCCCGCAACGACAAGGGAGCTCTACTCACTGTGCCATCGATGCTCATCACAAGGATTTGTAAGTTCAACTGATATCTCTCAGACCTCCCTCTCGCAACAATCTTCGTCGGCAAGGCGGTGCCGCCATCTTGAAGTGCCGAAGTGAATAACTCCATCATTGCACTAATGAGTTCCGACAGGGAGTGCTTTCGCAGTTTCAGTGAAATGGAGGTTTTCATTGCATTATTGTAAGAGACTACTGTTGGTGCAATGCACCGTATGCCATGATTTGGTCTGGTGATGAGCCAATAGCTTTGTCTTTTGCGTTTCGCTTGTGCGAAGACTCATCGACAAAGAAGTGCACTTTCTACATGCACCAATGCCATTTCTCCAGTGCCTACTGCTTCGAATGCAACAGCATTGGCTAATGAAACAGCTGCATAAGAGGCTCAAAAAGGCAATGACATTGATGGTGTGATCAGTGTAATGCGATAAATGCTTTGGTGTACAGAGAGAAATTCCATCAGGAAGCTAAACACCAATCTGCATTCACGGCTCAAGCTACGAACTGAGTACAGACATAGGTCACCCAAGTCCTGGGGAGCGCGCACCTTGGCACTCGCCTCTTCGGAGAACAAGGCTTTGAATCAGTCCATGTAAAATAACACTGTTCATCATGTTCTTGTTGATGCTTTCTTTGCACGGGATTCACCCTGTACTGTGTCCAGATGTAGATTAACTGCTTCAGCGAGCACAAAAGTTTGGTCGAGATTGCGAATGTTAGTCATTGAAATACAGAAGTGCTACTAAGCATCAATGTGATGCATGCACATCCAACAGTGCTATAGCCTCTAGTTGCCAGACAGCAACAGACTTTGTGCAACCTCTCATACATCAATGTACAAAAAACAATTTACTACCCCTGTGAAGAGATGGTTCACTTTCATGTTATACTGATTCCTATGATGGAGGAGCCAACCAATTATTTCTCTCATGTCTTTACACTGATGTTCTTCACATTAAAGGACCAGTATACAGGTAGTCCAAATTTGTGCTGGAGATAACTGCAAGATTGTATGAAGTGAACATGCTCCGGAAAAAATTTTGGGAGTAACTTTTGTAATAAGGAAGTAGCAGGGTATAAAACAACTAGCCTTGGCTGATTTCCATTCATCACTTGGTCTTCCCACCCTTCTAAGCGATAAAGAGGAGTAAGCATAGCCCGTTGTCATGACTGCGCCCTCTTCAGATGATGATAATGATGTTTGGTGTATTGTGGCGGAAGGGCCATTTGATGGCCAAAGAGCACCAATTCATGGAACTAGAGATGTGGACAATTATTATGATTAGCGGCTGTATAAGGGCCTTAAAATTACTCATGCTAAGGTGGGTAAAAACATTGAAGTAATAAAATCATGACCATGTCGTCAAATGTGTGTAGTGTCAATGGATGACGAAAGTTTGTGATAATAAAAGCCATGGCTGACATGTATGGCATTAGCACAAGTACCTCAATAGTTCACACCCTTGTGTCCTAGAGCCATGAGGCAAGTGCTTTGTTCAGTGTAGCCACCGCAGCGGAGATCTCTCTGGAGAAGTGCTACGGAATGCCCGAGTATGTTACATGAAAGGTACAGAGTTCTCTTAAAAAAAGCCAACAATTTATGTGTGAAAGGTGGTTCCCTATCAATGAATATTGCAAGGTGAAGTGGTATCTGATGTCGGTAGGGTAATGGAAAGTGTTGTCTTCTCAGTGTGTCTAATTGTCTACATTGGATTAAAACGCGAAGTACGGTGCGTACTTCTCCACATCTATCACACAAAAATGAATTGCCACCAGACAAAAGAAATCAATGTGTTGCGTGTGTACGTCCTGTTCTTAACCTTGTAAGTATTACTTCTGTGTGGCGTGATTTTGATACTGGTGGCCAGTGACCAAGTTGCGACTTGATAACATGCAGTTTATTACCTGTGTGTGTGTGTCCCATGTGCTTGGCCAATAACCTTTCAGCTTTCGTTTTAGAAAAGGCCTGAAATCAAGTGGAGAAATTGGTATCAATGTACTGGTGGTAGCGGCTTCATTGGCAGATCCAGCTAGCTGGTTCACCAAAATGTTGCCTTGTATCTCGCGGTGCCCTGGCAACCAGCAGATTACAACATGCTGTTTGGATGAGTACACTGTGCATTAAAGTGAGACAAGGATGGGGTTTTTGTGTTTTTACAAGTTTTCAGAGCTTTTACTACGCTTCGAGAATCTGTGTATATTATGGCCTTCTGTAGTTTTATTTGTTTGATGGCTGCAAGTATCACATAAGCTTCGCCAGTGAAAACGCTTGTATCAGAGTGCACTACGCCGGCTTCCGAAAGGAATGGGCCGATGGCTGCGTACGACACGGAAGTGTTGGACTTTGAGGCATCTGTAAAGAACTTAGGATATGTGTATTTATGTTGTAGTTCCAGGAAAGATGTCAGAATATGTGCCGTGAGCGCAGGCTTCGTAACCTCCTTGAAAGACACACCGCAATCTATCGCCTGCCGCTGCCACAGTGCACAGTGGCAGGCATGCTGCGGAAGCCATCAAACGGTGTTCAAGTTGCACACCGGTTTCCTTCGCTAGGCCCCTCACAAGCAGTGAGTAGGGCTGTCTCATAGAAGGCCGTTTCTCAAGCACAGCAAGGCTTGACATGTTATTAATTGTCGAATGTGATGGGTGATCCTTGTCTGCATTTACATTAAGATAATATTTAATTGACATGTAACATCTCTGTAGGTGGAGCGATCATTCGTTAGATTCCACGTACATGTTTTCCACGGGACTAGTGCGAAAAGCAACCGCAGAGAGGCGGATGCCTAGATGATGAACAGGATCAATCATTTTAAGGGTAGTAGGTGTCGTAGACTGATATGCTATTGCCCCATACTCTAGGCTTAGTATGAGGCTTTTATATAAATTCATTAGACACTTCTTGTGACTTCCCCACATAGTGCATGACAACACTTTTAGAATGCTCATGGCTTTCATGCACTTGTTTTTTAAAAACCTGATGTGTGGTATGAAGGTTAGCTTGGTGTCCAAAATTAGGCCTAAGAATTTGTGTTCGGTATTAACATAAAGATGGTGCCCATGCAGTTGAATATCGGGTTCAAAATGAATGCCTCTCTTCCTGGAGAACAAGACACACATGCTTTTGTGTGCATTCAGTCGGAACCCATTTTATTCTGCCCGATCTGAGACTTTGTTCGAACCAAGCTGAACCTTCCGCTCACACATGGCCAGATTACAAGACTAGAAACCAAGCTGGACATCATCGACTATATGTACAATAACATATTGCGAGGAACGGACAAGCACAACGAATTCATTTTGATAATTAAAAGCGTGCAACTAAGTACACCACGTTGCGACACGCCTGTTTCTTGGACAAATGTTTGGGAAAGAACGCTGCCCACTCGAACACGGAATGCCCTGTTTGACAAGTCACTTTCGATTATAGTAAACATTCTGCCACGCATGCTCCAAGGTGGGACAGGTCTCTTAATATTCCAAAACGCCATGCTGTATCATATGTCTTTTCGATATCAAGGAACACAGAGAGAAAGTATTGCTAATGAATGAAAGTGTTTATAATCTGTGCCTCGATACGATCAAGGTGGTCGGTGGTGAATCTACTCTTTTGAAACATGCACTAGAATTGGTCGAGCAAATTGTTTGTTTCAAGGAAATGGACAAGTCGACAGTTTATCATTTTTTCGAACAGTTTGCACAGGCCGCTCGTAAGTGCAATCTGCCTATAACTTGAAACTGAAATGGGTCCTTGCCCTGTTTCAAAATGGGAATAACAATAGACTCTTAGCCTCTTTCCAGGAAGCAGGGATAGCGCCATAGAACCAGACAGCATTGTATAAACAAAGTAAGGTTTTGTGTTTCGATTGGTAGGTTCTTTAACATTTCATACACCACACTGTCAGAGCCTGGGGCCAAATTAATTACTGCAGGAGTTTAGTGATGTTTGGAGCTCAGCTAAGTTGAAAGCTTGGTTATATGCCTCATATATAGTACATTTGTGTTCAAGTTTCTGCTTTTCTATTCTTCTGTATTTTTTGAAAGCATCAGTACAGTCTAATGAGCTGGACACCCGTTCGAAGTGTGGGCCGAGGAAGTTTGCCTGATCTTTCAAGGTATCACCCTGCGTGTTTACGAGTGGGAGTGATCATACTTGTCTTTCTGCTACCCTACCAACCATGTTCCAGACTTTAGCCTCCTGTGTATATGAATTGATCCCTGACAAAAACTTCTGCCAGCTTTCTCTTGTGGCCTGCCGACGCATTCTCCTGCCTTGAGACTTCATTTTCTTAAAGCTGTGAAGATTTTTGACTGTCGGTGAATTCTGAAGCAACCTCCATGCTCTGTTTTGCTGTTTGTGCGCGTTTCGGCATTCAGAGTTCCACCACGGCACACGTCGTTTTCCAGGGTGTCCATTCGTTAGTCAGATGCATTTTGTTGCAGCATCAATCAAAAACGCTGTGAAGTAGTTGACAGCGCCATCAATGCTCAAAGTACATATCTCACTCCAACCTAAACGAGCGATGGTATAACACTGTTCCCAGTCGGCTCTGTTTATGAGCCATTTGGGAACCCATGGTGGACACTTAGTTGCTGTAGTTGTGCTCAAAACTACGGGGAAGTGGTCCCTTTCATAGGAAGTACTGATGACTTTCCACTGGAGTAGAGGCACAAGAGACGGAGATACTATGCTTAGGTCTATGGAGGAGTAGATATTATTAGCGAGGTTATAATAGGTTGGTTCTTTTCGATTTAGACGACGCGCTCGACGAAAGAAGAAACTCTTCAATCAGTCGACCTCGTGTGTCGCAACGAGAGTCGCCCCATAGCCTGCTATGCGCGTTCACGTCTCCAAGGAGAACATAAGGCTCCAGAAGTTCGTCTATTAAGGACTGGAAGTCATGTTGCTGTAGGTGATAGCTCGGAGGTATGTAAGGAGTACAAATTGTGATCAGTTTGTTGAAAAGCACAGCTCAAACAGCCCTTGCCTCAAGAGATGATCGGAGTTGAATGTGTGTGCATGCAATCTCTTGATTCACTATAATGGGAACACCTCCAGATGATCTCATGGCATCATCATGGTCCTTTCGGAAAATAACGTATAAACGTAGAAACCTAATGTGTTTTGAATTTAGGCATGTTTCTTGTACACACAGCACTTTTGGTGAGTGTTCATGTAAAAGTTCTTGGACATATTCAAGGTTTCTGAGAATGCTTCTGACAATCCATTGTATAATTTGAGTGTTCATGGAGAATGTAAAGTAGTGCTGTGTGTACGAAAATCGAGTGGCTGTTTAGGCGGGGAGCTTGAATTCAAGTCACAGGGCCGTCACCAGGCCCTGTTATCTGATTTTTTGTTTTTTTGGTGCGCTCCAAGGAGCCACGCCGCTTTTCCGGCACCGAGGGTACCGATGTATCCATTGCCTCCTCACAGGCACTGGATGCCTACACGTGCGAGCTGGCAGTTCAAATTCTGGGCCTTGCCTGGTGAGGCGAAGCCTTGAGACCTGAGGACTCTGGAGTCTCCGGTCTATGTTCGCGAGTAGGCTGAGTAGTCTGGACTACAGCTGTCTTGGAAGGGTTTTGGATGTATGGCCTGAGGGAGGTCTTCGTGTACCCTGTTTGAATGGATTCTGGCAGTTTACTGGAAGAAAACGTGAGTATTAAGTGTTTCCTCGGTGTTTCCTTGTTATCTATTCTGATGGTAATTCTCCGTATATTAGTCACATTTTGGCTCTTCCACCCCTCCAAAAGTTTAGCTTCGGTCAGGTCAAGTAAGTCTGCATCAGATACCACTCCGCTAGTTATGTTGATTGATCTGTGTGGTGTTACGGTAATTGGTACGCCACCGAAAATTGAGAGGCCGTCTAGCTTTTCAAATTGTTATTTGTCGCGAATTTTGAGGAGAATGTCTCGGCTAGCCATTTTGGTTACCTTGTATCCAGCCCCGAGAGTTTTGGTAAGACACCTGGCAACTACAAAAAGAGATACGATCCGGGCTTGCTTTCCAGTTTCTCACAATGAATGACGTGAGAGTGAGGAAATGTTTCTGTTGGCTGGTTCAAGCCGTACCCGCTTCAAGCCAGTACAATCAGTAAGTAAGGGGAATGCTCTATACATGCTGGTTTAATTTTTATTCAACAGCGTTGGCGACCACCCACCATGAAGCCCAACGTGGGGACGCTACAAGTTTGTAAATACTAAAAACTTGCCAATGCCAGTCGTACAAAGCCACTATAACCGAATGCATTTAGACCAAGGTAGGCTATTTGCACAGGGTTAACCCTCGCTGCCAGGAAGATAGGCAGTAAAAGGAAGAAACAAGAAAACAGGAAAGATAAAAAGTGATGGCAAAGCCGAAGACGTAGAGAGAGAGAGAGATATGAAAAGGCGACTGCCGATTTCTTCCGGGTGGGTCAGTCCAGGGGTGCGGTCTACGTAAAGCCGGGGCCAAAGGGATGTGTTGCCTATGTCAAGGGGCCTTAAAGGTCCAATCACCTGGCGTCGGCTCAACAACAAAGATCCCCTTTTCCCCAGACACGGCTCAGCCACGCACGGCTAGACGGGGAGGGAGTCGAAACTCCCCTGTTAGCTCGGGTTTGTCGTGATGCTACGCACCAAACGCCTGCTCTCCCAGATGCCCCTGTGAGGACGCCCTCTTCAGCTATGCAGCATGATGTCATCGGCGCACAGCCAATGACGGACCAAGGCATCCTCTACAAGTTGCATATGTCAAAGCAGTGCGCTCTGGAAGACTGAAGAGGTAAACAAATGTGCCGCAGTACATGCTCCCTTTTCCGAGTGGAAAAGTTTCTAAGCACTTCTCAATTATTGAGGCTCTCATTTAACACTTGTCACAGTAGTGTCGGCTTTGCCAAAATAGCCCAGGGCAGCACAGGAAAAAAAAAAAAAGAAATGCAGATTGCACGGCCAAAACCGCATCACTGCAGGGCCAAGGTGCCATTTTGTAGTGGACCAATCAATGAGGTCAATGGAAGCAGTGCTGCCTATGGGCAAGATTTTGTCATCGTGCGAGTGAAAAGGTCTGGTCCAGCACAGGAGAGCAATGTGGGAATCGGTTTTCGAAATGGAGTGCCAGCACAGCACTACAAGATGTGATTTTGACAGCCTTCTATACAAATTAGCGAGCTGGTTTTAGAGGCATAAAAGAAAAGTCTGAGCCTCGGCACAGGTCTTTTAAACGATGAGTCTGTCCATTGACGGCAAACCTAAATCAATACTTGCCAATAATACAAAAACATACAAGAGCACAGGGTAAATAACACTACCTTAGGATTTTCCGTGTGCACAGATTCGGGTAGCAGGGAGTACGGGAGGTGCGTCTTGATCATTCGAGTGTCCGGAGAGTTTTCGATGGTCGAGACGCCGGGGTAGAAGTACTCGAGGAAGGGAAACCGCTGCTCCATGTTGCGTGCCGCTGCAGACCGGAAGTCCAGGCCCGTCACAATGAGGTAGACAATCTCCTGCACCCAGGTCGTGCCTGGGCATTCAGTGGCGACAGCAAGCCATGTAAAAGGCCTCTTATCAGCAGTTGCAATAACCACAGTGGGTTACAACCTAAGTGAAAACGTAAGTTCTGCCACAAAAATATGCTCTGTGTGCCCTTTGCCTGCAAAACAGTCGCACTTGGAATGTTAGTACTTTTACTCGGCTAATGCAAATACTAAGCATAGCAAGGTTAAAGGTTTGCCGTAACCAACTACGACATTATTTCTGGCTGAGAAGCGATTCAGAAACTCGGATGAAATTTACCAGGAAGTTGCAAGTTACTGACCTAAACCAGAGACACAAATATTTGTCTGGAAGGAAAGTCTGGCGATCTAAAACAGTCGAGAAATCCTTGACATCACGAGAATAAGTAGGCACTATTTGAAGGCGCATTTATGCAAATTCTCTGCGGGAAGGCCAAAAGTGACCGTGGACAGAATGACACTTTGTTTCTTAAATTGCGACAGATTATAATTTGATAGAGTGAGGTGAAAAAGAAACATTTATATCAGAAAAAAGTGTCGCGAATAACAAGGTTGAAAGCTAGGCTAATTGGTACGAGATGCAATTTTTACGCCGTATGAAGAGACTTTTTGCGACGATGTCACTATGACGTATGACTCCTTCTGGTGTGAATTATGGCAATTATGACTGTGCACAGGAGTCAAGTTCACATTATATAATTATAAGGCATTCGATAATACACTTAAAAAAAGTATTACGCCACGTGGTGCGTGGTTCAGTATTTATTCTTAGTTTGAATGTAGTTGAATATTTTATCATTTTGCAATCAGCTACGGCCCAATTTTACATAAAAAACCATAGGCTAAAAATGCATTTGCAATTAGTTTTATGCATTTCAACCAAATAAAAATACTTTCAACATTGGTCCAGGAATGCTGCACAGAGAACCATCCCTTTCTAACATTGCAGGGCTGTCACCAAAATGATCTCGGCTGTAGTCAAATGTAGCACACTGAGGTAAAGCGAAGACACGTCGACCATGCAGAAGGCTCAATCCATCCTTGCACAATGTACCTTGCTCCATCTTGGTCAGTAGTTCAAAGAAATTGCAAAAATAAGTAGCATCCAGACATGTCAACACTGTGCCTCGCATGTCAAAGGACTGAGGCAACTGACTGCCCACCTTTTTGTAAGCAATCAATTGGTGCGCATTGAAAATGAGCACCATCGATTTACCTGTCCCGGACCGCTCCGGACGCCGGCGCCACATTCGCTTTTCTCGGGAACCAACTGGAAGCTCCACCCACTGGTCTGGGATCACTCGGACGCATGGTCGTTTTTTGCGTGGGGACCGCCCGAACAATTTCTTTCGGGCAGCTGGCAGCACGGTGCGTATGCTGTGTGGCCATCTTAAGTTAGACACGGGAAATTTTCGATGCGTTATTGCTCTCTCTTTGCTTTTCTGTCCGCTTCTCACATGTTTCTGGATTTCGCATTGTTAGCGCACCCAGTTCTTGTCATCGATTTTCTGAGCCACGTTGAGCATGTGCGTATTCTCAACGGTCGGGCAAACATGCGTTATGTTTGCTAGGAGAAACAGAGGTGGAACGACCGCGTTGGTCTACGATGCGCACGCGCTCGAGTAGTTCACTTACAGTAAGTTGCATCACAACAGAAATAGGTATAATTCACTACCTAACTGCTGTTTAGATTGCCAATGAGTCAGCGTTGTGGCCTGTGTTTCAGCTATGGAGGGAGCAGACGGCATAGCAGACGTTACAGCGGATGCAGTCAGCATCAAGCACGCAGATGGCCCGGGGCCGCTCGGGACTTTTAGATCACGTGCATGTGACGTAGCCACCTGTGAGCCGAGGCGTCCGCGAGTGATCCGGGACTTGGTAAATCGATGAAGCTCAGTGATATTTCCAAATCAGATCATTTTAGAAAATAGGTATAAGCAGGCAAGGCTGAAGAAGAACAGAGAAAGAAGCTGACACACAAACACACTTGGTGGTGGTAGCTGTGGACCCTGTGATGCCACCGGGTGGCGTCACAAGGTCCACAGCTCCTAATGAAGCTATTTTCGAGCCTCGGTCACAGTATGTGCCGGCTGCGTGGTTTTCCGCGCTCGCTAAAGCTAGAAGACAGCGTGATGCTGAACAACCTTAAGCGGTGATGGCAAGCTACGAGACAGCATATAAGTTGAACACCCTTAAGCAGTGATGACAAGCTCGAAGGCAGCGTAGATGTAGAACACCATTAAGCAGTGATGACAAGCTAGAAGACATCGTGGATGTAGAACACCTTTATGCGGCGCTGGCAAGCTAGAAGACTGCGCAGATGTAGATCACCCTTAGGCGGCGATGACGTGCAACACCCCGCAACAAACCACCTGCGTTCCTCACCAGTCTTGGGAAACGACACGACGTAGATGTCGTCCGGTCTCGCCCTCAGAGCCTGGACCCTGGGCAACGAGCTGATGACCATACCGGGAAACACGTAGCCACGGTAGTTGTAGAAGTACATGTTTCGAGCGTAGTTCTCGTCACGGGGCAACATGACGCACTCTCGAAAAAGCTCGTTTTGTTCGGCCTGTCGTCGGCGCTTGAAGTAGAGCGCGGCGGCCAGCGTTCCCCCGAAGAGCGCCGTCGAGAACAGTCTCTTGGCGAGCTTGTAGCGGCGAGCGTCGTACCCTTCGCCGTTGCGCGGTTGTTGGTCGCAGTAGAAGCGACACGGTCGCAAAGCCGTCGGAGTACCACCGTGACGGCATAATTTCGCGACAGACCGCCGAGGCAACGCTATCCTGAACACGAAGGAAGCATTCTTCATCGTCAACATGACCAATGTCAACACACACACACACACACAAACACACAAACCGTCGCAGTCACTGTAGGTCCATTCACTTGGGTCCACGGATGGTAACTCTGACCAACCCGCGAGGACTTTTAGGATGCCACGAGGCGAGGAACGGCGCTGTGAAAGCTAAGGACCACTAGTAGAGTCATCTACGCTTCTTTTTCACTGAACACCAACGGCTGCCAACGCTGCCGTCCAGTACAAAATCGATAATGACTCGCGCCGATTGTGAGATGTGAGTTGTGCCTCGAATCTTGTGGGCGCGGCCATTGAAGCTAGTACTAGGACGGCAGTAAATTAAAACAAAGTGAATAACACATTAATTGAATAGAATTTGAATTATAAAAGCTTCAAAAAATGCAAAACTTTTAGTTGTATAAACAAATTTATTTTTATTTAAATTTTGTTTGCCAATTAAGTAGTCCGGGGTAGCTTTTGCACTTCATTGAAACCGCCAGCAGCCGCGGACAGCCGAGAAAACGAAACTAACGAGTCAGATGCGTGCGTGCCTATGCGTGAAAGATGGACAGCGGTGCCGTGGCCGTGAATCCGTTCACCCACGACTCGGATACGGCGTGGAACCGACTGAAGGCGACCCAGACGGTACGTGCGGTCACCCCGCTCCCGCTGGACACTCCCGTCAAAGACGACGCGGTTCGTTTCGTGTGCATCTCGGACACGCACAGCGCGATCGAGCGGATGCGCTACCCGATACCCGACGGAGACGTGCTTCTACACGCCGGCGACTTCACAAAGAGGGGCCTTGCCGAAGAAGTAGACGCCTTCAGCCGGTTCCTGGGTGAGTTTCTGTTACGTGTACTTTACGACCTGGTGAACATACCTTATATGTGATACACGCGTTGGGTACACACGTGATTCGAGTGTTCTTCGATATGATCGTATGATTTCGCGATACATGACATTCGAAAGTGTTACTGTAATCCCGTTCTCGGCGTACGAACTACAGAAGTATTTGCATTAGTGGAAACCAACAAATCAAATCCGAGGGAAGTTACGCGTCATTTTAATTATGACCCAATGCATTGTAAATGTAAAGAATTAAGTCAGAGTTGAGAAAAGGACAATTTGCCACCGGCATGGATTGAACCGGCAACCTTTGAATAAATCCGCCGTAGCTCACTTGATAGAGCATCGGATGCGTTACTCGTAGGTTGCAGGATTGGTAACGTCCCTGCCGGCGGTAATGTTAATTGTCCTTTGATTGCTTCTCATTTAAGTCACCACATTACTACGACTTAATGATGTCCCCTGTGCTTTTCTTGGCTTGACAGCCCGTTTGTTACCATTAGTTGTTGTTGTGTCTTACAAAGAAAAAAAAAACAAGCCCTTAACACCAATTTTTTGATAGATATCATGCGATCGATCATATGTGATTAGATAGGAAAGTGGACAATGCGAATTAGCTGTATACGAGATTTCCTGCGTCCGTTGGTAGGCATATACGAGCTGAACCGCCTGCTCGATTCCTTTGTTCTTTGTATGACTCTCTTTTCCCTAATTTGATCAGACTTTTTACATACATTAACAACATTTATGATCATTGTAGTCTCGGTAGTTCTGACTGTTGTTTTCCATGCAGATTTTTAGTATGTGCAATGCCTCACAACATGCAGTGACAGATTGATAAGAAGAGACTGATAAGTTACCTTTCAACATCTGTAGTACCCTTGTGTGAATACCTTATTGTTCAATCTCCTATCAGTTGACACATGGCTGTTGTCCTTACATCACAGATAACCAGAACCTGTCAGCATGTATTCTTTTCTTCGTTTCTTTTTAGTGCTCTTAAGGTAATTTCATAGCTTAAGTTATTTTTCATTGGTACATAGTAGCCAAACGTAATGTTTTGTGTTGTCAAAATAATAAGCATCTTCTTATACATAAATGCGCTTTGTCATAATGTTGTCAGTGGCGGTCATGTGTGGCATCTCAAGGACCAAATTTAATGTTGCACAAAATTAAAATGTGACACGTTGTTAGATGGAATCCTGGACCTAAATATTCAGAAATGATAGTATATGAAGGGAAAGTTTTGTTTTTAATGGTAACATTTGCCAAAAATGTAACTACATGCCCAGGTTTCAGAAAGCAGTTTTAGAACTGGTATAATTGACGAACTATGGTGACTGACTGGGAGGAAGGTGGTGCTAACAGACCCGCGGTTTGGGAATCACAGGTTTTTCATTGAAGAGATACAAGAGGCTGTACAACTAAAACACTTTATTAATTTTTGCGATCATCGTCTTCTGTTCAAGTAATTGACATATTGGAAAATAGTTACTGCAAATGCCTGAGCATCCTTGTTTTCCACGGGCTGGCATGCAAACCATTTTTTCGAATTCAACCATACTGATCCAGGGCTCTTTCTTTTTCGGTTCTCTGCCTTACTCTCTGTATGCTATGGCGGATTACACTCAGACCTCATTATTACAAAATCAAACCCCTCCGAAAATAATTTATTATATCGAAAAATTTGTTATATATGTATGTTCGTAACACTGTACCTATGATTGACAAAGCTGTTCTTCACTTACTTTGTTATAACCGATAATTCGTTATATTCGTGTTTGCTGTGTTGAGATCTTGGTCTATTACTAAACGTGACATTCGCACATAACTTTTGAAAAGTTTATTTAGTGGCGCTTACGCCTCTTCGCTGGAATGTGGAAGAGAGAATGCGCTTGGGCCAAGAAAATTAATCTACGAATGAGAGTTCTCACGTGGATAATGTTTTTGCAGGAAAACAGTGGAAAGGTAAAGCCATCCACGATAGAAATTAGTAAGAGGCCGTTAGGAAGATTGGTGGCAGAAATGTGGAGAGAAATGGCAAAATAAGTGCAGTGAGGAAAATAAAGTTAGTGTGCTCTCTGGAGCATAGAGGGTTGTGCTGTAAATTTATAGTCCGTTTTTTTTTTCCTTCTGTAGTGGATCACTTAACAAGTCATTGAGCATACTTAAAATAAAAAGTTATTTTTGTTTTTCTAGCTTGGTGGCACGCAGGCCACCACCCCATCAGCATCATTAATTCATGCATCCAATCCTATTAAAGTATTATATGTCAAGGCGTGAATCATTGAGAAGCCACCAAAGAAAGCTTGTTGCCGAAACAAGCAATTTCTCAAGGCAATTTTTTGACACACTTGCTCTAGCAGTGGCTTCTTGTCTGCTCTAGCTTTCATCTTCACCCAATTTTTTGTCCTGTGTGAAGGCGTGAAACAAACTGTTTTCTCCATGACTTTTTGCAGCCACCCTTCCTCACAGGCACAAGTTCGTCATAGCGGGAAATCACGAGCTGTCCTTCGACCCGGCCACGACTGGCTATTCACAGTCTCGTGCTCGAGCCGCGCTCGAGGAAGCCTGTTGCAATGGTCAAACGGCGGCTACTTAACTGCTCTTACCTGGAAGATGCCGAGGCGACTGCGTGCGGCGTTAAGGTCTACGGATCTCCTTGGTGTGTACTGCGTTCTTTGTCGTCTCTAACAAAGTGAATGGTGTGGAGGATCAGTAGTCGATTTCTACTACTGTTGGTTTCCTTGGGAATGCAGGCTTATAAATCCACTTTTCATCAATGCATGCGTAACGTGCTTGTGCCATAATCTACCTAAACACAGTATCGGATATCGCACTTCAAATTTATGCAGATATATCGAGGCTTCACTCACACAATCGCTACCCCTCTGCTCTATAAAAAAACGCATCCGAAATTTCTTTGCTAGTTTGTTTTTGCTCTTTTCCTAAATCTGAATATCCGCGAAGCGTGTTGTGCAATCACATGATGTCACATGCGTACTATCCTCCTTTCTTACACTAAGAGTGCATTGCCACAGGGTTCCGCAAGGTCAATGCAGCTCTCTCTGCACATTAGGGGTAATTCATAAACAACTTCAACGGCAGACTTTGATGTGCGGGCTGGCAGTGTGAATGAAGTCCAATTACACTATCATGTTCTACTCCTCAGGGTGAAGCTGAAGCAATTTTCCTAATAATCACATCATGTTTCTTTAAATCTAGCCACTAATGCTAATGGTAGCTCTTATTAAGCATTTGAAGCCTTTCTTTGATAAATTTCATCAGAGCGATCGATGCTCTCAACAGAAATTTCGTCGGAGAAATGCTCGCGACAGCACATCTGCTTGCCACTGGATGGTGACGTTGACATGCACTTCCATGGTCCGTATACCTTTGCTCACAGATGTATATAATAGCATACACTCAAACCTCATTATAGTTACAGCAAATAGGTTCATTGTATCTGAAAATTCATTATAAAGGTATATTCTTAGAATTGTGCCTCTTGCAAGAGTATTCTTAATTTGCTTCATTGTAACCGATATTTCGTTATATCTGGCTTTTTTAGTATCCAGGTTTGAGTGTATTTAGTATCGTAGAAAATACAGAGAATGAGGCATGGCATGACATAGTAAAGAATACTATTCTGTGTAAAAAATAATAAAAAGAGCAAAAAGGCAACTTTGAAACATAATGAGCAATTTGATAAAGTACTATATGTCATAATGCTTAGTTTAACAGGGCTGTCTTGCATCAGCTTGAAATTCTTCTCCTTTTGACCTCAGGCCACGGCACGACAACCGACGGCGAGACCGTGTTTGTGAATGCTGCCATCTGCGATGTGCGCTACCGGCCGGTCAATGAACCGATCATCTTTGACGTCCCACTCCCAGCAGGTGTTTCAAAAGATCACCACTGACTGAACCGGTGGACGCTTCAAAGACGTTTCGCAAGAAAATGTGTCCGCTGGTCACATCATGTGCCATTCGAGACAGTGCTTCGCTGTTATTCCTGAAGCACAGATTCTCATATTTTTTATGCTGACTGGTATCGCAGGGAGACAACGCAAATAGAAGTGGACATAGAGAGAAGGCATAGGATGGATGCTGTGTCTTCATCAGTAATGTCCGGTTCTCCTGAGTGCTGTGTTCCCCATTGAGTCTATTGGATCTAGCCCATTACACCATGTTACTTCAGTTTACTAGTATCTTTTAAGGTATATACTACCATGTGTGATATATTCCAGCTTTTATTGACTTTTTTACAGCCATTTTAGAGTCATACCTTTCTTCTTTGGGGTATGGGGGGAGGAGGGACGGCTAGTGCGCTTGTTGAAAGTTAATGCATGCTCACACAGCGGAGCGGTGCTTTGAATGTTTTCTGTTGTGTACTTGCATGCATATCTTGAATACCACCGAAGGGGTATTATTTTTTGCGTATATTTCATGGTTGTTGAATCTGCGTTGAATGTGGTTGACAGCTCTCCAGAACATCTCAAAATAGTAGGGCCTGTTATGTGAATTATTCGTGTAATTTTATAATATAAAGGGGCCCTGCAATATAAAGGGGCATATAAAGGGGCCCTGCAACACTTTCTGGACATTGTCAGAAATCGCTGCCGATTTCTCGTCGTGGCTCTCATGGCAATGTAATCCAAATAGTATTGCGCTGAAAGCTGGAGCAGTTTACAGTTTTGTATCAAAGACGGCCAGATATCGCTTGCTCTTCTATAGCAGAACTATGTATTAGGGTGGAGTAGGCAGGTATGACAGGTATTGGTTGATTGTATGAATGACTGGTTGCTTTTATTGGTTGGTTTTACCAACATCGTTCCACTGTTGAAGTCATGTACTGTATTGTGTTCCTACCATTGCGACCCACGTTACATGGCTTTTTATGTGCCTGCTTAAAAACAAATGACCAGAACAACTTGCAAAGTCTTGAACAAATGAAAGTATTTGTGTTTATTCACTTGGTACAAAAGAATCGCTGCATATCTTGGCTTTAAATTGAAGTTACTTAGCAACAACAGGCTGACTGCAGTTAAGGTTTCATCACCACATAATCTAGGTGTTCTGGTGAACACTGTATGCCTAAACACGGTAGAAATTATCTCTCCAGCAACAAAAATTTTCTGATCGTATGCTAGTTTAGGGCACCTGTTTGTTCAAGTCTTTCTGGTGCACTGTAGGACAAGTCATGTGCAATGTATCGCCATAAATATTTTTTTGGTAGTGTCAGGATCCTTTGCAAATTGAAAGATTATACATCTCGTGATGGAACACTGGCCGTAGTTTTGTACTTAAAAATGCCCTACCAGTGTTTGCTAGCTAGTCTGAAGTAACGTGCCACTAAAAAGAAATGCCTGTTTGTCTTTCATCGTTTCATAGTTACATTCAAAGTATTAACAGGCATTGCACTGTTTTAATAGCTTTTCTTGCATATCAAAAAGGACTCTTTGTTATTGAACTTGTACATTTAGCATGTCTACGTCAGCATTATTGTATGTTAGTGGATGATGCCATTACACGTCTTTGCTTTGGAGATCTTGCATTTTTGAAAAGTAGGGTGTGCGAATATCATATATTCTCAGAGTGACATCAGTGACTTTGTTAGTCTTTTTTCCTTTTTCACTTTACGGCTGTTGAATTGGTTCCCTTGAAAATATCGTTCTTGAAATGGAGCGCATTGACAAGCGTGTTAATTAAGCTGGTTGCAGTGTGAAACGCTTAGGCGGCATTTCTGCCCTTATCGGCGTGCGGAGGTGTTGCTGCAGGAAGCTTTGTTGTAGCGGGAAAGAGAGACAGCAGGAGCAGCTAGAAGACTACGACAAAAAGCCGAGAAAGGGCGTGACTTTGATTAACGCACCTGAAATTAGGAAGTTGGTTCTTGTCAGTAAACCCCATTATACTGCATACAAACGAAATGTTTTTACGTGCGCTGACAGTACGGTTCCCTCATAACAAAGCCAAACCACATTTGCACAACCCTATCATCAAGTGCATACTAATTTATTTCTTGCTTTTACTTGCTTCCCAGAACAAACTACTAGTATTGTTCCAGCATGATTCCTTGCTGGTGCAAACATGTTATTTACAGGCATGTATTTATCTGGCAAAAACCAAATAATTTCGTGTAGGCTCCACCCATTAACACCAACATGTACCCAAGGCAATAACTGACAAACACTTGCATTGCCTGATTTATGTCGTGCCTAGTGTTCTTGCTAGTTTCAGATGGTTAATTTTACTGCACAGATGCATCTTTTGTGTTGGTTTTAGTATGAAGATTGAATTTTCTGGTAAGTTTTTTGGGAGATCCTGATATTACTGTTGAGCCAAATGTGATATTGCAGCTATGGACATGCAACATTTATTTTCTAATGTGTCTAGAGCTCATGTTGGCCAGCCTCAAGTTGAATGGCTCTTGTACTGCGGCAACCGGAGGTTCACCGCAGTTTTGTTGGCGGAGCTTGTATTGAAAATCTTGCACTGATTTGTCAACTGCGCTTGGCAACTATTAGTTAGTTGTCCACTTGTTCACATGCTCGGCAGAGTTACTGTAAATAAATTGATTTTTTATCACATTAACATGTAATTTTTACTGCACCTGTACCATATACTAGAGACATAACTGCACTCAAACCTCGATATCACAAACCCAGATATAACGAATTATTGTTATAATAAGTCAAATAGTAGTTTTACTGTACGTACAGTCTTAGAAATGAATGTTTATAAAGAATTTGTATGTACTATATAACGAAGTATTCTTGTGCCAGATCTGATTGTTGTTACGAGGTTTGAGTGTAATTGGCACAAAGAACAACGGACAAAAAGAAGACAGCAGACGAGACACAGCACCGCGAATACGTTTTCACCTTGTCCATCGTTTTTCTGCTCTAAATAGTTACACTAAGCAGCTTAACTTGATTCCCCAATATGCACCATCGCTCCCATTTCATAGGATTAGGAAAAGTTTTCCACTGTATCTGGGTAACTGCTGTGCTGTAATCAACACAAGACCGTGGCTGTAAACAACTCAAGGTTGCATTGTGTATATATGACTTTATTACATCTCATTTACACAGTTTATACGAAAAGCAGTTCGAACAGCACACGAGCTTTTCTCACAGATGCTTCACAGCACTCGCTCGACATTTTCAGGGTCAAACTTGCAGGCATGCCATCGCAACACACACTCACACCAGCCACCCATCAGTGTCGCAATAAAGCGTGCTCTGCAAATCCACACGCAAAGTTTATGAAACTACAAGTTTCTCGCCACAGTTCTTCATAAAACTAGCCTGCTTAACGGCGCTGAATGCGGAATGTTGCACGTCACTGAAGCCATTGCCTCTTCAAAATTCTCTCGGAATAGGTACCACCAAATATTCTTTGTACATTCTTTGGCCAGTCGTAGTAACGCAGCAGAGGCCGCAGACACATCATTTTAAACCTGCCATTATTTTTTAACGTTAAAAGGTGAATTGCTCTTAGATGAAATAACTGGAAAACAATCAAGCACCCCAATTGTTAGATTGTTAATACTTTCCTACTTAATAAAAATACGACAGAGGTGCCAAGGGTCGGGCACAAGCATATGAATATAAGAAAAGCATAAGGGCAACAATTTATACTTTGTAATCACTACAAATTACAGGCCCTGTGCTTTTTTTGCTTTGAAGTGGTTGTTTGTAGAAAGCATTACATATGAACTGCACATGTTATGTTCTTGCAAAAGCCCTGGCCACCTTTGTTTCAGCTAAAAAGAGAAAGTACTGAGTGCTGTGTGCATTTCACGAATTGTAGATAGCACTGAGTAGTTCCGCTTTTTGTGATGCCGCCATACGCAGCCACAGTGCTTCTCAATGTCGGCTGATTTTCCTTTGTGTCGCAGTGACCGTGATGATTGGCTTGTGTGTTCCAGGACCAACTAAATTTTACCAAGTGTCATGCCCTTAGAAGTAAAGCACGCAGTTGGGCACCTACAATGACAAAAACATGCTAGCATTTGCTTCAAGTAATGCTTTAGCCCAATGCCTTACGAGCTTAGCGATGCCGAGAACTTTTCGGCCCTCACAGAGACCAACCACCGTGCTTTTATCAACATATCTCTCGCTACATAATGACATTGTAGTTGAGGCTTGACATGTACGCTGGTTGTGGGGTAGTCCCTCGGTATTTCCAAAAACGATCTGCATGCTGAAAAAACAGCCAAAATACAACCCCTTCTTTTCTTTGCGAAACGAATGCCTGGAACTCTCGACAAAACGATCAAACAGACAAATTGAATACCATGCAAATTCAAAAAGCTCAAAGACTTTTCACATGCATGTGCCTGTCAACTAAATATTGGGAGTCGGGACCTTGTCGCAACAGCTCTGTATTTTGTCAAACAAGGTTCGACAAAATACACAACAGTGATGACAAGGCAGCAATGCAGTCGATTTGGAGATCAAGCAGAACCCCAAGATGGCGCTGCACATATGCCTACCACGAAAGTGCCCTGCAATGTTTGACTAGTTACTACAGGTATCTTTAGTTATGCCTATGCAGAATGTGATGAGATAAACAGTAAAAAAATAAGTATGTTATTGTGAAATAAACAAAACGACATGTCTTTACCAATGAAAAACTGCTAGGCGTGCACTGAGTACAATATTCTATTGCTGCTCATATCTTCACTTTATGCCGAAAATGCTGACATGATTTCAGATTAAGGCCCATAAGAAATTTGCCTGTATTTATTGAAATCATTATATAATACTAAATTTTCAGTAAGAAATGTATGTCCTGTAGCTGTACAACTGAATACAAACATTGCTGAAAACATGTCTGTTCCATGTACAGAAAATTGGTAATCAGAACCATGTCATTCGCTACAGATTTCAAGAGCAGGTAATATTTGTATATGTGCTACTGCTTAAAGCCAATTATAGTCTATGTGTAGACAAACACTAATGAAGTGATTACTCCCTCACCCGATTATATTATTACATGAATTTAGCCTCGAGACGGTTCGCTTTGGCAGTTCAATTTCAGGAACAAGATATGCAAACTAGTGTGAACAGCAAGGATCCCAGCAGGTCTACATGCTCATGTAAATTAGCTTAATTTAATTTTGAAATTTTCACTTTTAACTGCAATAATGCAAAACTAGAATTACAATGAAATTAATCAGTATACCACATATTAGTATGTTTGCAGTGTCTACGAACATAAATATGTTAATAAAGAAATAACTGTTTCACTGAAACATGTCATCTTTAACACGCACTCACAGAAGGGTTTCTTTTGGAAGCTTTTTGTCAATGCTTTGAGTAAATGTGTAATACCCATAACACAAACTTCAACTGGGGAACTAATTTACCAGAACTTGACAGAATAAAAACGTTCCTTGCATCACATTGTACATTTCGCCAGCACTGTTCAATCTAAAGCAGAGGCAAACTTCGTTAGAACAACAGCATTCAATATTCGTGATGAGCTTACACTTGTTAAAACAGCTGTTTTCACGATAATTTCATACATAGCTCATTATAGCATGCGAGTTCAATCATATAGGTTCAACTATAAAGTTCAGCATACATTCATCCCAAGCAATGTTACCAGTTACAAAAATTATCACCCTCATTGTGGTATGTTATGTTGTTCACAGTATGGCAAGACATCTGCTTTCGCGCACTTTCTAGAAATATTTTGGTGCAGACATCCTATCATACAAATACATTGCGTGTCTCATCTTTTACAAACCAACACAGTCTTTTCCATTTTCACCACGATCTAACCTCTGAAAACCACAGCACTGCGATCCCAACAGTCGGGGAAATGTTGCAGCGATCTGGGGTATAATAAAAGCTATGCTAACGTACAAAAGCTATTTACATAAAGAAGTGCAATAACGTTTGACTCGTTGAGCCGTCAAATGTTCCACATTCTGTAATGTATGGCATTCCGTACTTTATGTCTAAGTGTCTTGTAATATACAGCATACGTACATCCTGTACCTCAGGTCTAGGTGTTCCGTAATGTATACTGTTCATTATGTTCAAGTGTTGAGCAATGTATGATATTCTGGACATAATGTCTAAATGTTCTGTAATATACAGTATTCCATACATGATGTCCTCGTGTTCCATAATATGTGGCATTGGTGCCCATCTTGAGACTGCATTTCTTTGTTTTTTTATCAGCAATTGATTCACCCGCAACATTGCCCAATACCGTTATCGCCAGCAACCAATGACGATCACAAATGCCACAATGAAACCTTTGATGCCAGCGTGAATCGGGGCAAATGTGTGCACTTAAGTTTGAACGTACACATCAGCTTTTTGTTTTCTTGTAGGTCATGCCAACCTATTTTTTCAGGTCGTAAGGAAAACTACAGAACTTGAGCAACAAGCTGCATTGCATCTGACCGCTACTGCTGAAAATTGTTCGCTTTGTCTTTTAGACAGGAATGGTCACGGACATGGAAGGCTACCACTATCGACATTGATTTCATTCCCATGGGACTAGGTAGAAAAGTAATTCAGACACTCGGTCACATTCCCCTAGAAGTCGGCAGAAAACGCTCTTCTACAAGCTTTGCGGCTACCATCAGTGTAAATAACACCCAAGTTGTACCTTTAGTATTGAAAATAATATAACGGTGTTTTGTTCACATGTGCACACTAGCCAACACAATCACTGCCTGGAATTTACCGCTCACGAATAAGTAAAAAATACAGTCTGTGTTATATCTTTATACAGTTTGCAAATGAGACAGATCCCATCAATTCAGTAATACGAGATTAGTTGTCTAATCATGACTCAGTACGGCCAAAGGCTATCTAGCCTCATGCTGCGTCCATGCTGAAAGTGGGGTTCGTAATGATGACAGTGTTATAGCAATAAAACAAAACTCTGATTTTCACATCTAATAATACTTTTCACCTAAATTCTGATCTTAATTACGTCGAGTGGATTATTTCAATTGCAAGGGTGGCATGTTAGGTAGGAAAGAGAAAACGAACAAGAAAGGCCACAAAAAGCTGGGTTTCTACAGACACCAGACTTAACCTTGGAGAAATGAGCTTACAGAGTGACATTACTGCAGGTTGTTATGTGCTCTCCAGATGCGTGAACAGCTGCCTATATTAACTGTGCGTTTCGAGGCCGGTAAAGCATATTACATGTCCAGTGCAGCGCACTATTAAATGGAACCCTGCCACGTGTAATGCTCTCTGTCCTCGCAAAATAGCTTCAATGCCATGCACAGGTACACAGAAGGTTGGCAGCACCGCCGGCTGCGAGTCGTCTAATGCAAATCATGCGCCGAGCCCCCACTTGGTAAAACATAGTGTTCATATATGCTCCGCATTCTCATGCTCCATTCAACGGACCACACTGCACAAAGACACCTAACAGCTACTTATCTTTCAGAGAGTAGCTACTCACTGTAACTAATCGACTATCAGTGAGTGGCTACTGACTGACATCCCTGAAAACTCGCTGATAGCAGATTTTTTGAGTAGCTCACTGCAACTATTCAGCTATTGGTGAGTAGCTGCTTACTGCACTGACAACTAGCTGATGGCAGTTTTCGAGTAGCTCACTGCAACTACTCATCCATCGGTGAGTAGCTGCTCACTGCATGCAATTAATCTGCTCTCAGTGAGTAGCTACTTACTGAAACTACTCCACTATCAGTGAGTGGCTACTCACTGATATCAATGGCACCTCGCTAAGAGCAGTTTTTGAGTGGCTCACTGCAACTACTCAGCCATCGGTGAGTAGCTGCTCAATGCAATTACTCAGCTTTCAGTGAGTAGCTACTTACTACAACTACTCGGGTATCAGTGAGTGGCTACTCACTGATACCCGAGTAGTTTTTGAGTAGCTGATACCCAATAGTTTTTGAGTAGCTCCCTGCAACTTCTCAGCTATCAGTGAGTAGCTACTCACTGAAATTACTCTGCTTTCAGTGAGTACCTAATTACTGAAACTACTCGGCTATCAGTGAGTGGCTACTCACTGATATTACTGGCACCTCGCTGATAAGCAGTTTTTGAGTAGCTCACTACAACTACTCAGCTATCAATGAGTGACTGCTCAGTGATATCACTTTTCACCTAGCTTTAGTGAGTAGCTACTCGCTGACTACTCGGTAAACGTCCTTGATAGCAACACATCAATTTGCAGTGAGACTTCAGAGATCCACGACATCAGACATGAGCAAAATGCACTAGCAACTGCGCATTCACACTACAGTTCATCAATCAGCCCAAGCGTAACAATGCACTATCAAGCCTTGCACACTCTGGCCTTACAGCTACAGGTGGGCTATGTTACAGCGCAGTGTTTTCTTTTCAACACTGAAAATGCTGCTGCTAAAACTACATCACGTAAAGACGGCCAAAAGATAACAAAATAATAAAAATACAACTGACTCTTCACTAGAGTCCTCAATGCTCTTGCATACACGGTATAGCTGTTAAGCGCACCGAAAAAGATTACAAAGTCACACAGGACAAGTGCTTTCGAAGAAAATTTATTCATAAGAAAACGTGAACGAAAGAGAAAAATCTCTGCAACAGAAGGAGTAACAACGGGTGAGAGAAAAAATGTTGTCTATGGCTCTTCATTAGGCCTGTGCTCGAACATTCACTCATCATCTACAGTCGCCTCCTCATACTGCTGATACTCTGATATAAGGTCGTTCATGTTGGATTCTGCCTCGAAGAATTCTCTCTTTTCCGTGTTCTCCTCTGTGTCCCAGCAGAGGAAAGCCTTGAAACAGAACATGGCTGTGAACAGCACGGCTATCCTGGAGCTTTCAATCGAATCTCCGAGCAGGTCGCAGTCATGTTTCATCGCAGTCATGTTTCATCGCAAGGCTTCATTCCGCTGGTACATATATGAGGGCATGGAAGAGATGGAATTCTCCAAAGCAGAATCCAACACGAATGACCTTATACCTGAGTACCAGCAGTACCAGGAGGTGACCGTACACAATGAGAGAGAGTTTGGGGACGAGTTTAACGAAGAGCCATAGACAACATTTCTTTCTCTCACTCACTTTTGCTTTTTTTGTTCCAAAGATTTTTTTTCTTCGTTTGTGTTCTCTTTTGAATAAATATTTTTGAAAACATTTTTTGAAAAAAAAAAAGCACTTGTCCTATCTTTCTTTGTAGCCTTTTTGTGTGGACTTAATAGCTATACCATGCATCTTAACTAACTAGCCCAAGTGTCGATTCTCTTGCATACACATATGCACATACAGTGAGGTTTTAAGCTCTTAGGACCATAACCGTAAAAGAAATACGAGGAAACACAAGTGTATGGACAGGTACAGGTGGTGTGCTTTGGAGAGGAGGCAAGAAAGAGACGGAAAAAAAAGGAACAGTTTTGCAAAAGGAACAAAGAAAATTCGAAGAATGCAACGGCCGTTCAAAGTAGCGGTCCGGTGAGGACGAGGATATCTCGGACAACGACAACAATACAGCACTATCGCGGTGACGAAAAGGATGACGGGGCAAGTTCACTTCAGCCTCCACAGCAGCTCGTCTTTTGCACGGGGCTGTCGTCAACAATGACCACTGTGCGTCGCGAGTTCCCTCCGCGGCCGAGGCTGTTGCGATGCTGTTCGTCATTGGTGTTGGCCACCTGCATCATGCCTGTGAGCAAAGAAGCAAATAAATAGTTAATTCATAGGGTTTAATGCAGCAAAACCATGATATGATTATGAGATATGCCATAGCAGAGGGTTACGGAATTTTTGACCACTTGGGATTTTTAATCCCTTACTGCCGAGTGTCGCGTATTCGCGGCATAGAAAAATTCTTTAGTCAGCAAGTCAAGAAATGTGTTGCGCCTTTAATGCCGACCATCAAGTACTCACCGGGAATGTAGTTTTCAGCACAAAAATCTAGCGCCATTTTGTCTAAAATATTTTATGCTAGAACCAATTGTTTTGTAGCTTATAGCAAAGAGGCACGAAGCGCATGCAACAGCTCTCGCTACTTTTGTTTTTTGTCGCCCAGTTGACGCAAGTTTTATCATCAATAACTTTGTTTATTTAGTGGGTATGCACCCAACAGGTGGCACACAACATGTTACATAGTTCTGAAGTACGCTTTTTTGTTGCAGGGTCCTTGCTTCTATAGTATGTAGAGAAATTGCGACATACATAAAAGTATGCGTTACAGTTGCATTTCAGAGAATTTAACAGTGGAATTATTTAAAAGTTGTTATTTAAAGCTGGTAAATGAAAACAATTCTTATTTTGTCCAGCAGTTTTATAATTCAGGCATTAAAGGGTTTAACATGCACCTAAACCCAAAGCACAAAATTGGAGCATTTTCGCCTCCATCGAAAATGTAACTGTCACAGCCGGGATTCGAACCTGTGACCAGCAGGTTAGCACTCGAGCACTATAACCAAGCCTACTTTGGCAGGTGCACAGAAGGTAACAGAAGCCGAACTATCAACAGTTTGATGACTGACAGTAGTGTGAAAAATTGTTATAGAAGCCCATAAAAGGAACATACACAACACTGATACAATTTCACAAAACAAGGTGTCTCAGAATTTCTAATGAACTCATTTGTCAGTGAAAAGAAAGATATCGGGTTTTACGAGCCAAACCATGAGATGATTACAATGCACACCGTAGTTGTGGGCCCCTGAACTTTTGACGACACAGAGTTGACAAGCCCAGGTGGAAGCGAATTGGAAGCATTTCGCTTTTACTGAAGTACAGAGAAAGATGAAGCGCAATGTGCATCGGTGTTTGCTCAAAATCGATTTATTGTGATAAGCAGAAACTTCACAATATAGTTGTATAAACAATGACACGAAAGCCAAAGCTCACACGATTAATGTTCTTTCCACCTGTCTAAAGGTGCGTGTGTCCAAAATGCCTTTTGCAAGAGTTTTCTGCTAAAGAAGCAGAGGAAAAGCACACAACTTGAGCGGTCTTCTTCATCCATGCTTTTATTTTGTGCTATGCTAAAGCCAGGTTATCAAAACTGGCCCTGGTGATTAGCAGCTAAATGTCATAATGTGTGCTTTTCTTCTAGTGACCTCCCAGTGACACACAACAACTGCACAAAGCCACGTGAGGCAACTCTAGACTTCCAGTGTGCTTTAGTCACCATCGCAGGAAACACAATCGAACCCACTTATAACAATACTAAAGCACCACAAAACTTTTACGGTTATAACTGATAACTGCCATAAATGGAGTGCACAGAAAAAGAAGCAAAATGTGTGGGTAGCGGCTGTTGCGAAAAACTATAATATGCTTGACGATTTGGACGCCTTCACAGGACCACCACAAGCTCCTAGAAGCAATGTACGACGTCTGAAGTTTCAGACACCTGGAGGATTCCAGGTCTTCGAAATGCAGTGCACTGATGAGCTCGATTAGCCTGGTCACAGAGTAAAAGCGCTTACTTGGCACTTCCGTGTTGATTGGCAGAGTCAAGTGTTGGAAGGTTAGATCAAGTCAAATTAGTGCCAAAACAGTGTTCGGGCAGGTCTCCAGCCACACCAAGCAAATACAGGGAGGGTCAGAAGTTCCCAGGCCACTATCAAGCGTATTTATACGGGAGCATGGCCTGGGAACTTCTGATTAGGGCTGTACTTCATTTAATGGTTGAAGGAGCCGTTCTGACTGGTTTTCTCGGAATGCGACTCTCCACGAAAAATGGAGCGCGGACCTATTCCTCTAGCGTCACAAAAATGCTGCCACACAGCACCTTTGGAGGCACTTACTGCCACTGCCAGCACACCGTGTGCATTTTTCCGTGAGTGTGTTCAGACTTTTAATAGCTCAAAGGTGCTGAAAAGTAACTTCAAAGGTTAGCGGCCTGAAAGAAAGGTGGTTTGAAAGACAACTTGTGTCAACGCTAAGTGAGCGCGGAGTCTGAGAAATAGATACACTCAAACCTCATGATTAACAAAGTTGTACCTTACACACAAGTAAGTTTGTTATATCGTAAAGTTCATTATACAGGTGTATGACTAACACTATGTTTACTGAAAGACTATTTTTAATTTGTTACGACCGATATTTCATTACATCCGTGTTCGTTGTATCGAGGTTTGAGTGTAGAGGAAGAAAACCATTTTATCGGCTGCTGTCTACTCACGCTTGCTGAGGTCAAGGAAGAGATCGTCGATACCGCGGTTCAGCTTGGCCGAAGTGTGGAAGTGCGTGGCCCCAACAGAGGCGGCGTACGCCTCGGCCTCCGCAGCGGAGACGTTGCGCTGCTTGTCCAGGTCGACTTTATTGCCCGCGATGGTCAGGCATACGTCTGTTCCCAGCATCTTCCGCAATTCCTTCACCCAGTTTTGAACCTGCACAATGCAATACGTGCTGAGTGTGACTGTGTGTTTGTTACTACATGAATCTTCTAGACAAGTCAAGAAAAGCGTACGTGATGAGTCTGTTTATAGTTTTTCTTCTTAAAGTGTAGTAATTGGTCGAGACCGAAGTGATGATCTTCACATTATGCACGCGAAGCGTTTCAAGTCGTGCTATGCCGATGCATTTTTCTGAAGGAAGGAGGAAGAGCCATTAGGACTCTCGTAGTATGCTTACTATGCTGCTTGAAAGAATGTACAGTTGGGGTCATAAGTTTAGAGAACACTAGGTATGAAGAAACTTCGAATTCCTCAGTAGTTTATGGCCATATTCAAACTGCACAGTACATGTTAAGCAAGTTTTAGAACAGGGCAGAAATATATATTCAAGGCTTCTTGCTAAAGCAGCAGTTGTATCTTAAGTTGCATGGTGCTTAAAACTTTTGATGCTGACAGTATATCTGTCTATCAGTTGGTGCTTGTTCCCTCCTTACTTTCCAACCTTTTGGAGTCACAAACTGATGCAACCAAAATAACGAAGGCTGCGATAGCAAAGATTGCCTTCAGTGCTTACCTTAATGAACGACCCCTCATCTGTGATGTCGTACACGAGCACCGCACCATTGCTGTCTCTGTAGTAGATGGGTCCCAGGGCATGGAACTTCTCCTGGCCTGCTGTGTCCTTATGTGGGCAAGGTGGCGAGTGCAAAATTTTAAAGAAAATATTGGCCTGTGTCAAAAGTTTAGCTTCTGATGCCAGAACTCCCATGATGAACAAAGCAATGTACAGGCAGCGCGTGTCGACAGCATCATGTTTATATGTAGTGCCTTTAGAGTGAGATTTATGCTTCTTGAAAAGTTTAGACCGAAGAGACAAGGACAAGAGAAGGAAGGTAAAGTGCCTCAAGTTTGAGCTCAAACTTTTTAAGCATGCTACCACACCAACTGGCCCAGCACTCGATTCTTTTGAATTCTGATGCTTCTTTGTCTATTGTTGTTCAACCCTAAAGCCAACTTTCCTTCCACCAATATAGAAAAACATTCAGTGCCACATTCCTGTAAATTTCTGCCATGTTTGCTTTTCGCAAAGATTTCATAGACCTGAGGACTTACGCTTGAAAAAATGAACAAAAGCTTGAAACTAAATTCTGGAGTCAAAACTCGATATCTGATTACAAGACATGTCTTAGTGGGGAACTACAGATAAACATTTAGTATGTGGGGTCCTTTAGCATGCACCTAAATCTAAGCACATGAGCATTTCTTTTACATTACATACCTATAGAAATGTGAACCCTATGGCAGAGACCAAATCTGCAACCTCTAATCATAATTAGAATGCCCTGCTAAAGTACATTGGAGGGTTGAAACCATAGAGTTTCTCCCAAATTAGCTAGAGGAAACTCTGGCGCTGCGATCGTTCAGCAACCACGGGGATGATGGGTAGTACACGAATTCGCCCAGTCTTTGTACTTGCGGGCGGCGAATTGCACTTGTCGCTTCGTTTACTTCCCGATTTCGTTTTTGTTTCGAAAGGAAAAAACTAACCCTTTCGAACTTCGTGACCCGATTTGAAATGGTAGTAATAAAAGAATAAGGCGGTGAAGCGCTACCTCTGAACACTTGCCGATTTTCGTTTCACGAGAAAGCAGCTCCAAGCCACACGAACACACACGGAGCCACACACAACACACACACACACCTACACTCTACGAAAAAGATGGATTATTTGGGCAGCATTCATGCCACACAACTATTATTGTCTGTCAGCTTGCTGACGTTTCCTTTCTTGAAAGCCGAGCTCTCGCCACTTCCCATTAAGAATGCTATGTCACACTGATAGCGTGCACAATGTTAGTGACCGGGTACAAAGAGTAATATAGGGTAGATGATGAGTATAGCAAAGTGACAGAAATGCTCCCCAAATACTCATATTTTCTCTTGGAGAGAGTGTGGCGAAAGCAGCTTCAGCGTGTGCTAAGCTGTTAACAAGTGCTGATGATATGTAGTGATAATAAGTTGCATTGATGGCAGGTATGGTAAGTGCATCGAACTCACCCAAATGGCCAGCTGTACTCGCTCCCCGGCAATGTTCAACCTCTTGTCTAGGTAGGACGCCTGTTGCAACAGAGCGCAAACCACAAAGATAACTGATAGTGTTCACCTTTTCTTAATCAAAAGGCTAGTGCTAGTCAACATGGACTAAAGAAAGGCACATGGAGAGACAGTCATAAATGCTTCTAGCAATTTGTTTTTATTGTATATTATGTAGGGTGAATTTTCAATAAAGACAGTAACTAGAAGTGCTTTTGTCTCTGTTCTTTTCTTCAGTCCACATTCACTAGCGCTAACCTTTTAAGAATGAGTATTCAACTCGCCCAAGAACTAGCAGCCTTTTCTTAACATAACATGAGCTAATAACGTTTCTGCGAGAATATAACAGAACAAATCAAACATTAAAATTCGGGATTACAAGCTATAAGAAGTGTGCACACACATTCATTGTCAATGTACTGTGGGAGATTTCATGACTATAAGTGTATTGATAATTGACAACGTACTTGTACGGGCGGATCCACATGCGTACGCACCGAAACCTGGGAATATTGGTATATGTTAAGCTGTACCTACATGTTAGTCTCTGTTGCAGCCCTAAAGAGACAAGTCCACTTGTCCAAACGTCTGCTTTGGAATACACCCTCTGTTTTCGAATTTCTCAATCACTAGGAAAGTGCCTTTAAAGAATTAAATCCATAATGCGAATTGCTCAGGTTGCATGAAATGCACATTTCCGGGTTTTTACATATAAAAAAAAAAAAAACATGCAATGGCACTGTTCAAACATTGAACTACAAATTTTTGACTGATTGATTGATATGTGGGATATCTGAAGCTTTATGTGCCATGATATGATTATGCGGAATGCTGATGTCGGAGGGCTCCGGAAAAAATTCGAATCATTTGGCATTCTTTAACACGGATGGACATTGAGCTGTGCTGTACACGAGCCTCCAGCATTTCACCTGCATGAAAATGTAACCGCTGTCATTAGGATTGAACTTGCAGCATTCAGGTCAGCCACTGACCACCAAACTTACTGTACCGGCACGGTGGACCGTAGGGCATGTGGCTAAGATTACGAGTCATGCATACAACGTGTGCCAATTACAAAAAGAGAATGCATGGAATGAACCGACGAAAGATACTGATCATGTATGGTTTCTCATGGAAAATGGTGCAGGCACACAACTTCGAAACTCTGCTGCACACCTGTAAAGTGCATAAGTACCACTGTCAGAATGACACTTTTTTGGAAGCACTGATGTCTTAATTCAGTAACGAAAGTTGACCTGGAATATCCCAAACATCACTTCACCAACTTTTATTTAGTGCTATGGCTAACTAAGGTTTAATAACTGCATTGCGTGACCTGTGTTTGTCAGTGCTATTATGCGTGCACTACTGTCATTTGGGAATGATCAATCCATCCACAGGCCCGTGTCAGCTAACCGTACCTGCAGTTTCACATACACATTGCACACACCACTGCTCGCACTAACGCCGGTTTCGCGTCAGACTCGGCTGAGCGCGAACGTAGTACACATCCGAGCACTTATTGCTTGCGCGAACGCATTAAACGGAAGGTCGTAGCAACTGGAAAAAAAAAAAAGAAAAGACCGCGAAAAATGCGGCCGCTGGTATTTGGCGTTGACGAAACCGACCGAAACTACCGCGTCCGCTGCTCGAGCGGCGGGGTTTAACTGAAACAATACGTGGGAGAGACATCAATTAGGAACAAGGGGGCGAAGGGATTTGTTCAATTGGGCCTACGTAGACGTTATATCGATAAAAAAACCCGTATCGCGCCAGGGTGTAAGAAAGAGTGAGATAAACACTCGGACAATCGTTTAGTGCCGGATGCACGTCGAGCCGTACGCTCGCCAATGTCCGTCACTTAAAGGACCAAAGGCACAGGGTTAGGAGAATCGGCAAAGCTAGAACTGAAACATTCGCACAGTACTCGTACAAACCGAAAGCGTCAACACTTTCAGGTACTTCCGATATCCGAAACGCTGCAAAACGATTGACCTTTGACGGCTTTATCACTAAAATTTCCGTACTGAGCGTTCCTTTGAAAAGTTCTAAGACACTTCGCAACGAATTCAAGCTTGAGCGTCAGTGGTTTCTAGGTGCAAAGTTCGATAGTGCGGAACAATTCGTCGCGTTATAATCGCGTCCCGTTCAAACGCGCAAAAGCACTGTCGCCTAGCCAACGTTTACGGCGGAATTTTAGTCTGGGGAAGTGATTGACAACTGAATGGGCGGATTTTCTAGGGCGCGGTGAGTTTTCCCAGAGACTGCGCTGCCCTTGTAAAGCGAAAGCGGTGGGTAGCTTGGCCCGGTTCAATTATTTGAAACAAGCACATATACCGACGCAAGACGTGGGCCTGCATGCGGAAAAAGGAAGAAGTTACGATTAAAGAACACAGCGCGTAAGTACAGATGTTACAATTAAAGTGGACACAGAAAATGCCGCAAGTATTAAGTGTTTCAGTTTGTAGTCCAAGAACGTAGTTACGTTGTTACTGGGAGGTGCGTGGCGCGAAGCATCGCTTTGTTTACCTGTAGCGTGGAGAGGTGTTTATCGTTGAACTTGTTTTCGACGTAACGGAGCACGAGCGAAGTCTTTCCGACGCAGCCTTCGCCCAGCAGCACTACCTTGAAGGCGTAGCTCCTACCCGATGCGTTGGCGGATGCCATCGCGGTAATAAGGATGGATGAAACGCCACACACGATCCGTTCACTTCGCGGCTTGACGAGAACACGGGAAGCTCTTGATGAGCGCGGTAGGAAACACCGCTAACTCAGGAACAAGCACTTTGGAGTAGCGGCGGATTACGGCGTGCGGGAGTCATCCGTGGCACAGCAAAGAGAACACGAAAAAAATAAAGAAACACTGCTTTCCAGGGAGGTTCGGGTTTTCGGGGCGAGTGCACAGCCGTCCGAGACTGATAAATGACGCGCTTCTTTCTGGTTCAGTCGCTTCCGAAGTCTTATTTCGATACGAAAGAAGCCACGAACACCCCTCGAACGACAACGATCAACACTTCGCAAAGATCAATGGAAAGCACTGTTTCGGCCAGCCATACTTTAGACGAAGTTTCGAAACTTATCTTACACTTGAAGTTTTTTATTCTTTTTTTTCCAAACACCTAAAGCTGCTCCACAATAAACACATGCAATAAAAATTACCACGCAAATTAACCCAATAGTTTTACAGTTGACAATACGCATTATTTGTTGTGCGTAAGTCGTTCTATGAAAACCAATGTTTGGCCTAAATCAACCAATAAATCTATTCAAGTAGTAGTCGGCGTGGCGCTCCAACTAGATTTGTTAATTTATGCGCATCTCGGCAATTTATTCTTAACTTTTTTCACATTTACGAAAATTTCAAGCAAAGTCGCAAGTTTCTTTGTCACGCGAAAAGCTTCAAACGTCATCGGCAGCAGCAACGAACTTTAAAGATGGCGGATGGAGGGGGCGAGAAGCAAGTAAGGACAATTAATCCCTTTTCTCTTTTAAACTGTCCGTTGACACTGAAGAGCAAGCGCTCGAAAATATAGAACACTTCGACACTTTATTTTGAGGCGAAGCTCACCTGACGCCGTTTGAATCGTCAGATGTGAATAACGCCCGTAGTGTGTTTTTTGAACTCGTTGGCCAGATTAGAACAAAGTTCGTTACGAAGTTGTTTTGACGCCGTTGCGAATGCGATGGCCGTAATAGCGGCTCGGATAACGGCCTAAAATCTCTCTTAGCGTACTGCCCTGCTTGTCACGTTTATGTGTAGCTGTTTTTTGTTCAAATCTCGCCGAAACTGCTGCTCGTTCAGCGCCTCGATGCATTTCAAATAAAGTCCGCTTGTTTTCCTGAAGATGCCCGAGTCGACTTTCATGACACCCGGATTGCCTTCATCGCGATGACGTAGGCCTGTCGTAGACGTTTGCGTTTGCTTGTTTCAATCGAATCACACCCGCTTTCGAGCATTAGCTTGATTGGTTGAGCTGTAGCGCTGACCGCATTTTGATGAAGGGAGTTGAAATTAATCCCTCTCTACGGCGTGTGTCTCGGGATCATTTTGTGGTTTTGTCAGATAACACTCCGGAGGGATTTTGACCGGGTGACATTCGTATTGTGTTCTTTCTTTTCATGAGTATTCTTCGAAGGATGTGGTGGAACTGTCCCCGGCTCTTCGTCATGAAAAAAAAAAAAGAAACACTGCTTTCCAGGGAGGTTCGGGTTTTCGGGGCGAGTGCACAGCCGTCCGAGACTGATAAATGACGCGCTTCTTTCTGGTTCAGTCGCTTCCGAAGTCTTATTTCGATACGAAAGAAGCCTCGAACGACAACGATCAACACTTCGCAAAGATCAATGGAAAGCACTGTTTCGGCCAGCCATACTTTAGACGAAGTTTCGAAACTTATCTTACACTTGAAGTTTTTTATTCTTTTTTTTCCAAACACCTAAAGCTGCTCCACAATAAACACATGCAATAAAAATTACCACGCAAATTAACCCAATAGTTTTACAGTTGACAATACGCATTATTTGTTGTGCGTAAGTCGTTCTATGAAAACCAATGTTTGGCCTAAATCAACCAATAAATCTATTCAAGTAGTAGTCGGCGTGGCGCTCCAACTAGATTTGTTAATTTATGCGCATCTCGGCAATTTATTCTTAACTTTTTTCACATTTACGAAAATTTCAAGCAAAGTCGCAAGTTTCTTTGTCACGCGAAAAGCTTCAAACGTCATCGGCAGCAGCAACGAACTTTAAAGATGGCGGATGGAGGGGGCGAGAAGCAAGTAAGGACAATTAATCCCTTTTTCTCTTTTAAACTGTCCGTTGACACTGAAGAGCAAGCGCTCGAAAATATAGAACACTTCGACACTTTATTTTGAGGCGAAGCTCACCTGACGCCGTTTGAATCGTCAGATGTGAATAACGCCCGTAGTGTGTTTTTTGAACTCGTTGGCCAGATTAGAACAAAGTTCGTTACGAAGTTGTTTTGACGCCGTTGCGAATGCGATGGCCGTAATAGCGGCTCGGATAACGGCCTAAAATCTCTCTTAGCGTACTGCCCTGCTTGTCACGTTTATGTGTAGCTGTTTTTTGTTCAAATCTCGCCGAAACTGCTGCTCGTTCAGCGCCTCGATGCATTTCAAATAAAGTCCGCTTGTTTTCCTGAAGATGCCCGAGTCGACTTTCATGACACCCGGATTGCCTTCATCGCGATGACGTAGGCCTGTCGTAGACGTTTGCGTTTGCTTGTTTCAATCGAATCACACCCGCTTTCGAGCATTAGCTTGATTGGTTGAGCTGTAGCGCTGACCGCATTTTGATGAAGGGAGTTGAAATTAATCCCTCTCTACGGCGTGTGTCTCGGGATCATTTTGTGGTTTTGTCAGATAACACTCCGGAGGGATTTTGACCGGGTGACATTCGTATTGTGTTCTTTCTTTTCATGAGTATTCTTCGAAGGATGTGGTGGAACTGTCCCCGGCTCTTCGTCATGAAAAAAAAAAAAGATGAACGAAACAGTTGAAGCGATACGTGTGGCTGATGCAAACGCGCTGCGCGGGGCTTCGGCCCGATTCAAGGCGGGTTCGTTTCTTGTTGCGACTGTTTATGTTGTCGTTGACGTACGCAATTGATGCTTTTCCGCCCTTCGATTGTTATCGGACAGCTGTCGAGTGCTTGGGAGTACGTACCCGATGGCATATGCGCAGGCGGTCGTGGTTTGCGTTGTAAGACTGGGATTCATAATGTGAACTGTTGCATGAAAAAGAATGTTTTTCTGATGGTGGAAGTCGCAAATGTTTGTGTTTAAAGGTCGGCTGATGTCGAAAAAATAGGAGTGCCGGCTACTGATGTTCACGTGAGCAAAAAGCATTTTAAAAAATCGTGTGAGTGCACAAGCTGTGCATGTGCAGTCCTCGCAGATTGAAATAGGACACTCAAAGCGTGTGGCTGCCGAGACATCTACTACCACTCGTGGGTGTGCGTGAAACCAATGAGTTGCATTGTGGTGTAGAGCGAGGGAGAGAAGGACACCTACGGAAAAGGATTGCTCCTTCCGGTCACCAAACTGTCGGCCTGTAGTTCACCATATGTACACTGCTAGCGGGGCGCTGCAAGGCTCACGCACATTCACATGTCGACCGAACTGGCTAGCCGCTGCACACCACTTCTATTGCGGCACCAGCAGACGACCCTCTCGTTCTGCACGCTTAAACGATGCGCTACGCATGCTGTGTGAGACACAGGGTTCAGCTTAGAGAGTGCGCCTTGTCTGTGTTCATAGACATGATAAGCATTTGCATAAAAATCTGACTACGTGGTTTCTCTTGCAACATGAAAGTAAATGAGTTGCAGGCCTACATTTATGCATCACAAAACAATATCGTGTATTAGTGTCTTTGGGGGAAGCTGTTGCCTATCGTTGAATAAAAATGGCAGAAGCTGGCTCAATCTTTCGTGACCGATAGCTCTACAAAAGTTAGCCGCGTAGAATGGCCGCAGAATTGGATGCTCGGGCTGAAGCAACAAAATGTTAAGACATTGATTTAACGCTGCGCCAAAACAGGCCCCGTGGCTGCTGCTTTTCTATTTCATCGTGACTGAAAGCACGACAAATTTTGTATGCTTTTGGGCAGTCATTTATTTTGTCTACGAACGCATGTCAGGCGCAATATCTTAGCTGAATCCCATTTTCTTACTTGGTGCAGCCTACGTCCTGCACTGTCAGAGGGCGCAAAACGAAAACAGCTTGCGTCGCTATGTAAATAATGCGCACTGCCAACTCACTTCAGGTTGCATGCAAAAGTGCGTGAGCCTTGCACCGTCGCACTGGCCGTGTGTACTTTGTGAACTAAAGGCGGACTCCCTGGGAACCGGAAGCAGTAATCCTAATCTGTGGGTGCTTTCACCCTACACCACAATGCAACGCCTCGGTTACACGAGCAGCACCTTATGTATGGAGGGCTACGCGCTCAGAGTGTGCAATTTCAATCCGTGAGTACTGTACTTCATTGACTTCTTTGCGATGTTCTCTTTGGTAAAAAAAAAGTGAACTTCGAGGGATATTTAGGAGTTTCTACAAATGCTCCGTAGAGCTTTTGTTGATCTGCTGTCGAACTTTCTGCTGGCCAGCTGAACTTTTTTTGTGAACAACAACTACTAGTAAGGACAGTTGTACCGGTTTGGCATTTCACAATCGGTAACGCATTCAAGCAATAAAGTATATTTTGTGCTACCTTACAGATGCTTAGGTAATGTTTGTTGGCTTGAATACAGAGTGCTCCCTTGGAGTTGCTTGGAATGGTTTGTGCATTTATGGGGTGAATCATGCCGACAACGATTTTGTCGTCGGAAGTGTGATGTATAATATAGGTTCTGTGGGGACTGAAGTGTGGACTGGGAGAGTTGGACTTCATAAAGAATGAATAGAACATGTGATTAGACTGCACAGCTAGCATGGTCTCATCATTCCAAGCCAGTTTCAGTCCACTGCAGGACAAAGACATTGCCTAATGACCTCCAGTTTATCTTGTGTGGGCTGATTTCATATTATTCCTGCAAACTTTTTTGTCCCTCCAATTAACCCTGACTTCCCCAACTGCATTTCCCAACCTGTGGTAACCATTATGTTGCCCTTACGGTCTACCGATTGTCTTTTCTACACATTATGCGGCCAGCTAAGGTCCATTTCTTTAGCTTGATGTCGACTAGGATATCTCCAACTCCTGTCTTACCTTAAATGTTCTGCCGTCCTTCAAAATAATGTTATTCCCATCATTTTGCATTCCATAGCACGCTGCGTGATCCTCAGACTTTGCTTTAGTTTGTTTTCTATGCTTCAGCCCCTTATATTAGAACTGGTAGTATGCAGTGGTTGTGTACTTATTGCTATAGTGACAGTGGCAGATTTCCTGAATTATTTGGGAGTGCCTGCCGAATGGGCTGAGGCCCATTCGTACATTGTGATGAATTTCCTTTTTTGTGATTAGATTCTCCCACGAGTAGTCCTAGGTGCACATATTCTTGTATGCACTACAATGTGTGATTTTATACCTTGCACTCTTTCTGTTTCGCTGAGCTATTTAATATTATTATTGTCTTTGTCATATTCATACTGAGGTCTATATCAATATGTTCTCAGTTTTACTTTATTGTTATGGCAATTTAATAAACAAAAATGGCCTTAACATATGCAAGTAAATAGTACAGTGTGTTTGCTGTAAGTTCATTGAAAATGTACTCTGAGAGCTTCTCTACACATGGTAATGTGTGGGATCTTAGTGCAGCGCTTCCTCCACACAATCCTGGCAGAAGGTAATGTGGACGATGCTTGAAAGTTCGACAAACATCAATATAGAAGTTTTTAAATACCAGCAGAATGTATATGATCACCAGTGGAAAGTTTTAAGAAGCCTAAGAGCAAGTAAAATAACATTTCATTGTAAATCTCGACAGAAATGCTATTGCTAAGTTCATTGAAATCTCGGTGCTATGTGGAACATCTTGGTGTCTGCATTGAAAGTAGAACACAAACTTCACCAGAAAATCAGCAGAAAGTTCAACAGGAGGTCTATGTTCGCTTTAATTTTCACATTTCCAAGAAGTTCTTGGCATTCCTAGATTTTTTTTTTTTTTTTTTGGAGATCGGGTTGCGCTTTTCTATAGATACAGACTTGCTAAAAAGTAATTTTGATTGACAGATGTTGAATCTGCTTTGAGATGAGACAAAGAAGACTTACGGACTTTTTTTTAATGCACTTGAAAAACTTCAGAAAAAGAAGAGTTTATGAAATAATTGTGCAGCAATGTAAAATGGTGTAATAAATATGTCAGGAGCATCCTTTAGGGCATTCATAGAGAAAATATTTAGTACATGGTTTGCTGCTCAGCATTTTCTTGATGGTTGTGTTATGAGCAAAACTTGAGTAAAGTTCTTTGTACATGCAACTTAACGAGCTTATGCGAGCCGTTTGGTAATCACATTTGTTTCCTTCGAAATGATGTCAGAAATTCCCGTAATTTAGATTTCAGCTCATGTTGCAGGGGTGAAAATGGATTAACCAATAATGATTGTTGGGATTTAACATCCCAAAACCACCACAGGATCATGAAAGACGCCGTAGTAAAAGGCTCCGGATTTTTCGACAGCCTGGGCTTCTTTAACGTGCGCCCAAATCTAAGCATACAGGCCTCGAGAATTTTCACCTCTATTGAAAATGCGGCCATCGCAGTCGGGAATCTATCCAGCAGCTTGCAGGTCAGCAGCCGAGAGCCTTAGGCACTACACCACCGTGGTGGGCTCATCTCCATATTCTACATGTTTCATTGTCTAGCAAATTTTTTGTAACATTCAGTGTCCCAAATAAGGATCTTCCTTCCTACAGCCAGTTGAATTGGCTTAATGGCAACATATGTAATTAAAGTTGGTTCTGAATTAAGTTGCCCGATGTATGTGTTTTTATGTTTAATTTTAATTTAAAAGCATATGGAATGATAACTATATAGGCAGTATTTCGTCACAGAAGATTTTAACTGTTAAAAATGACAAATACAACAAAGTGATTTGGAAAAAAAAAGCTGAGAAAAAAACATCGTCCTTCAGCTATTTTTGGTTGTGCCTAGCAGCTGCCAGTGGAAGCAGCCGTGGGGGCTGCATTGCCTGTTCATTGCCGTTGAGGAAGCTTATCTCTTTGTATGACACATGCTTCTCGTTCCTCGTTCCGAAAGGATTCGTCATAATGGAAGGAAGTGCCCGACTATTGTTACACTGAAGGCTGTAATTACAGGATCATTGGCCTAAAAACCGTCGCGTACGTTTTTTGGAGATGTTTAGCGGTGTAGGCTTTGAATACATGCTGCTCAGCCATCATGCCGAGTCTGGGCACATTTAAGAACTGACAGAGTTTGCCAGCTCGGAACACTTTCATGCTGAACTTTGCTGTGTCCCAGGAAACCAAAATGCAGCCAAAGCATGCGCTGGTGACACCATCGAGCAATAATGAGGCTCCCCCCAAAAACTCCGGGCTCTCCATTGTGAAGGAGCCAACCAAATTAAGTTGATTCAGCTTGTAAATGGCTTGTTGTGAAGTTAATGTGAGAGTAGCTGCTGTATGCACAGAGCTATAAAATGGCTGAAAAATTCTGTACATGCAGTGCCTTGTGCAGTGGCCATATGCTGACCACATAGGCGAATTCAAAGCAATGAACTGCAATGCCTCATTTCCACTTTGATAACTGCCTTTCTGCCTCCACAAAGCTGATAAAGCAGCGCACCTGATACATTACTTTATCTACTGCTGCCGATGCACATCAAATCATGTTGCTGGCCAGACTGGCACGTCTGCAGCCTCCTGCTACTCTTCGTCGCTACTTTGTTGGCAAGTTGAAATGGTTTGCATCATCGATAGAGTATTCATTGCTCGTAGAACCACAACATAAACACATACAGAGCATCTTTGTGAGGGCAGTGCGCGTGTCGAGAGAGAATATGGCTAACCGGCTGCTGAATGAGATAGTGAATACGTTGCAGCTGCTGTTACGTTAGCGGAGTGGTTTGGCATACGCTCGCAGAAACGTAAAAAGTAAGAGCACCATCAAAAAATTTTATAGGTGGCTGCTTCTGTTGGATCGTACACTGACAATTCATTAGCAGCTTGTTCTCGAAATTTCAAGATTTTTTGCTCACCGTTTCTTTAATTAAGCAAATTGAACTTTGCACCTCGCTGCATGGCTCCGTGGTCAGGCTAAATTGAATTAAAAAAAAAAAGCTTGATGGTCGCAATGTTGTTTTTATATTTATTTTACTTAATTGGTATATACTTTTGTGCTTGGATCATAACAAGGGGATCTTTTCCTTTAATACTGATTTTGTCGTTACAATTTTCAGTGTGCTGCTGAGCACATTGTGCCACTATTGATACATACCGGGTCATAGCAGCCGCATTTCGATAGTGTGGTGTTATGATATTGCTTTCGTAATACATAGATGTTGGTTACATATTAACCCTCACTATCAAGTTTAACAGGAAGTTCTCCCTCAACAAACGCAGTGTAGCAGAAAGTAGTTTGTATGATTCGTCACTCCCCCCCTCTCAAATTTGGGCTGTCAGCCGCAAAAATTTGTTGAAATTCGCAGTGCACGGCAGAGCAACAGAGAACTGCATCATTGCATCACCTACCGTGATGCCGCACGGTGTGCTGTGGCCTTAGCAGTGGCACATAGTCTGAACGCACTGGCAACACTTGTTTCTGTATATTTATGTGCAGAACTTGAAACTCATTTGTGATCGTACATAAAGAGGGTGAGCGTTCCCACGTTCCCATGCCCCTTATGAAATTTCGGCTCCTTCCACTACAGTATACCACAATGTGACTTCACAGTTTTTAAAACGTTTTCAGGCATTCGGGAAGAAATACCTATGTTGGCTTGCTGTACTCATCATAGGGTTCCATTGGATCACAGCATTGTTCTGATCTACCATTAAACGATAAACCAGGTCCGGGTAGACGAAAAAAAAAACGCTGATAACATCATGTCATCTTGTCGCACAATGATCAGAAAGACATTGCTGCTCGTATGCCTTCGTGATGGTATGATCGGTCTATGAGTTCAATCATATATGGTGTAATACTAATAATCTTTAATAGTCTTTATTTAGGAAGACCATATGAAGACCATATATGTTGTCAGAATGTGTTCATTGTGAGAATACATTCTGACATAACTAAAAAGTTTATAGAGATTTGGAATGGATATATTACTCATTATAAATGTTCATTAAATCAATTTTGTCTTGTATTTGGGTAGCAGGGCGTCGTTATCACGCTCTTGGCGTCAACAAAGCACTGACAGCAGAAATGTGGTACATACTCTCGTTTAATCCTTGGATTGTCCGCTTTATAGCAGTACTTGTATATGATGAATAAATGATAAAAAGAAGCGAGATGGCGGTATTTAAAGTTTTCTCTAGATGGATGGATGGACGCATGAACGAGCACAAGCATGGACAGATTGACGGATGCTTCACCGCACTCATCATCATTCATTCCGTGGATATGCTGTACTATTTTTTAATTCACATTCACACTATAATTGCATCAAATAACATCCCCTATACTTCCCTGGGTATGATTGTCTGTTAGATATCATTAATATTGTACCTAACAAAAAACAAGCCCTTAATCGACCACTTCTTTTCTTTTTTTTATATGTTATTTACTGCATGGAAACATTAAAAAAGGTGGCTCATCAGAGGGAAGTCTTCTCTAAGGTGGTTAGTTACGAGCACATTGACGCTTACGAGGTCAGGCTTCTGTTTTGAAAGCCGAAGCCAAATTGTGAAAATACGTGTTTTTACCGCAGCCTTCCTTTGTGTATTATAACTGTTTCCACGTCATTTATGTGACTCACATTATTCTGCCATTTCTAGTGCCCTGCGTTCCTAATTGAGCATGATGAACATTCACCCAGTGTGCAAAAATGCCGTGTGCCTAGTATATATGTGTAATGTTGAGGGAGGAGGGGTCATGGCTTTTGCTCTGATAAGATAAAGTTAGATATCTGCGCTCTGTAACTGCGGGATCTTACTTCTGTGTCGTGTGTGTGTGCTCGCGGAAAGAGAAGGATGGTTGTCTATTATGCTGTGTAATGTCCGACTCCAGATTAGCCCCTTGTTGTTTGTCGATGTGGCTGTCGATAGCACTTGTTGTGTTGCCTCTGGTAGCTTGGAATATGGGGACGCGTTTCACAAGGAGGAAACGCTCGGGTCAGCCATCGTGTTTTCTCGGTTCTGATGTGGTATGGAGTTTATTGATTTCCTTTTGGTTTTCCATTTACTCGCTTCCTGTGCGCTCCCTCTAAATGTGTGAACACCTGCCTAGTGGTAATGTTTCACTGGCTATGTACGTATGTCGTAAGTGTATGTTGCACACTAACTGACCTGCCTTAAGCCTTGGAGAAGCTTTGCGCGCATTTGTCTACACAACGTGTTTTTGCTAGTTGTGTCGGCTGATGGCTAACGTAGAGCAGGATACATTGAGGTTTGTATGATTTGAACTTCCTGCATAATAAATATGTCTTTATTTGGCAGCATGCTGTTGCATACGATCACTTTTATAAAGGGCACTACCATGTTCATCAAGTTGTTCGACATACCATTTTGCACGAGCGACAAGAGAAAAGGGCAATTTTTTCTGTTGCTCTAAATGAACAAAATTGAGTACGAAATTGCACTACGTTTCTAGCCTGAGCTTTGGTTTTATTTAGACAGAATGAGACATGAACGATTTCAGGATACAGATAGATATTTAGAAAATATCTATCTGTATAGGTAGATATAAATAGATCTGTATAGATCTGTATAAATAGATCTGTTTAGATAGATATAGAAAATCAAACACTTAAGTTGTTAGGGCATTGTTTTTGTTGCTGTGAAATATTGAGTGCCTTGGAATAGTGTTGTGCAAATTTGATGCGTTTATGGGGACTTCTACACAGGTGGCATATAAAACGGTTCCAGGCTCAGCAGCTATGGCTTACCTCTTAATGCTTAGAATCAGTACGATGGTCGGATTATTGCTGCACTTGTCTCTGTGTTTTTTCATCTTAGCTGGAAACCAATATCATGAACGCGTTTACCGTGGTGGCTTGTATAGCAGCTGCACATTGTTAAGGACGGAATAGAAAAAAAACCAAAAAAAAACGGCTGCGTGCTTAGATTTATTTCTAGGTTCACAACGAAGGACTGACTAAAAATAATGCGCACTCTCTCCTTACAATTTTCGTTTTGATTGCATCGTGGTTTCAGCACATGCAAGCCCAGAAGGGAGAGTATGGCTAGTCAGGTAACATTTCTCAATACAATTAGGTAAAATCGGCTACTACAAGGTCATGCTACTACAAGTTTCGGCTACTACAAGTTTCTTTGGTCTGCTGGCATGATTGCCCACCGTATATCATTAAAGAACCGCAGAATTTAGTTTTTACATCTGATTATTTTTGATTGATTAGCTATGGGTTCCTATTCTATCTCACGCTCAGGAGCTATGGGTTTCCATTCTATCTCGTGCTGAAGGTAACAGGCATTGTTTGCATTTCTTTCCTATTCCTAGCAAGGAACATTCAACAGTAAAAGTTTGTAGGAGGGTTTCTGGCAGGGGCGTCCAAACGTTCTATTTCGAAACAGTTTAGTAATCCTTGTTTTTTTATTTACATAGTATTCAGTTAGAGAATTCACACTATTCGAATTTTTTTTATTAAGTGTTTATTTATAGAACAAAAGAAATTTGGACGGTTGTCGTAGTATGCCTATTTTGATGTGCACTGCAGTGCGAGAGTTTATCCTGAACTGTGCGGGCTAAATCAGTTTTATGCCTACGAATGTCTTCTTCGCCCGTTTTGTCACCATGGACATGCTTCCCGTCTTCTGGTATTCTTCTGTTGCTGTAAACGACGCGCTCTCGGTTACCTGTCCTTGTGACGTTACCTGGTGGTTTTGGTGCTCGACTTCCTTGGGGGTTGTGCCATTGAACTCTGGACTCCAGTGGCCGCATTTCTGATTGAGGCGAAAATGCTTGAGACTGCTCTGTGCTTGTATTTAGGGGCACATTGAGAACCTGAGGTGGTTTAAATTTTCGAAGCCCTCCACTATATCCCGAAACCCCAGTAATCGTATCGAGGCTTCGGGTTATTGAACCCCTACCGTCGTCATTATTACGTCACTTGGCAAAGTTCACTGGTTCTAACTTTTATAATGCTTTTTTTTTTCCTTGTGCAGTTAACCTACACGCAAGACAATGTGTCCGTACGCATTCTCAGTTCGCGGGGCGAGGAGACGACATCTGGGAAGCTGGAAATTACAAAAGAGGTGAGTTTACTTCGGGGATGCATGAAATTGCTAGAGGGTTCTCAGTAGGGGGCAGGCTTATTCTCTGTGGTTTGCGCTTTCGGCACATTTCTCTAACACTATCTGTCTATACCTGTGTGTTCTTTTTTCGCATTGTTCTTTCTCACTGAGCAGTGCACAGCAAGTGTAGGCTAAGCTTGTGCACTGGCGATTCCACTGCACAAGCACAGGCTTGAGTGAAAGCTGCACACGAGTTGTAACGCTGGGTTTCTGTAGAAAGTTAACCTGGGCAAATTTGTTCAACTTTGTTCTGCTGAATGTGCAAAGAGAATTATCACATAGATGGAAAAATGATTTGTGTTCTGTTTTTTGTGATGTATAGCGTGCAAGCGCAGATGCAGTGAGAGGGTGCCTTAGAAAACATGGGCTGTGATGCTACGTTCATGCTTAATGATTGTGTTACTTGTGTGGTCTCTCAGTTCATTTATTTTCTCTCTTTTGGCATATGCATAGTTTTAGTCATCAATTTTTTGTGTGCATAGCCATTCAGGAAACTACTTATGTTCCCATTTGTTACGTGGTGATACTTGATGAGGGTTCAAAACCATGCTGATGTTGTCTTTAACATTTTCGAGTTCTTTGATATGATGCAGGGATTTCGGTTACGAATCTTCAACCCGCTATACCTTCAATTCAAAGGGCTTAGAACATCCGCTCTTCTTTTCTTGCGTGCAGGTCTAACTAAAATATTCTGATGTGCTGATTTATTTTGCAACTCTCTCACCTAAGGTGCACTCTTGCTTCCAAATCGAGACATGGAATGTTCAATAATTTAAAAAGTACATATTGCATTAGAAAAATAATTGCCCATTTGAAATCGACACACAAGTGTACACAAGCTCGGTGAGCATCATCAAGATCGACATAATATTAAGGAGATCTAACAGAGAGTCGTGCCAAAGATAGTATGGGGGACATTATTAAAAGTAATTTTAATGTAAATGTGAAGAAAGAAAGAAAAGTGGATTAAAAGATAACTTGTGGGCAATTGCCGCCATGGCTTCTGGAGGCGCTGACTGACGCTCCCACGTTCAATGCACATATATGTCCCATGATGTGGACGGGGGAGATAGCCGCTGTGGTAGCTCAGTTGGTAGAGCATCGGACGCGTTATCCGAAGGTCACAGGTTCGGTTCCTGCCCATGGCAAGTCATCTTTCTGTCCACTCTTCTTTATTCACACCTACATTACAATTACTTCTAATAACGTCCCCCATACTTTCATTAACATGATTGTCTGTTAGATCTCATTAATATTGTGTCTAACAAAGAAAAGAGCTATTAAATATACAAGATCGACTGTTTCAAGAGCTTCTGAGCACTTCGTCTTTTAATTAAAAAAGAAGCATGTCAACCCCCTCAATTTGCATGCAGTACTCGCAAATTTTCAGCAATGCACCCGATTGCACAGGCACACCTATAAATCTCCTGAGCAACAATGGTTGTGCCACCGTGGAAGGAAAATGACAATACACTAAAGGCATTGCTTTCAAAATTTTCTGATCACATGCGAAGTGCTTAAGCCACTTTCACTGCGGAGCACTGGTGTCTTGTGAAAAAGTGCACTGAGATCGGTGGGAGCGAACTTAATTGTAACAAATCGCTGTGGTTTTTGTCCCTCAAGTACACGCATGTGCACGTGCCGCATAATTGAAAGTATGACTGTTGACGTCGATGTACTTTACCAGCAATCCTTTGTTCGTGATGTTGCTGGGGCCCCGAGAAACAGTGAATCGATGTATGCGCTCGTCGGCAAAAGCTTTCGGTATGCAGGCCACACCGCAAATGTGAATTTCCACTCTGTAATTAGGCTACGCTTCTACTTGAGCTGGTGACTATCGATTGCAAGACAAACTACAGGCTGGAGTGCTTTGTAGCGTTTCATGTTTCGAGAGAAAGCAAAAATCTCATGTCCCATAAGCGTTTGCTGACAGGTGTGCCCCAGTTTGTTTTGTCGCATCCCACCCCCTCCTCGGGTTTAGGAATCTCCTGTTTTTTGAGGTCGCTGTGTGGGCAGGGATGTGTGTGGAATGGAGTATTTCGAGTGTCAAATCCACAGCCTCGTCTCACATGGGGTCTCTCTTCTCATCTGCCTCTTTTGTATTGGATGCTCAGAAGCATGGGCACGTTGTGACGTGGACCGCATACCCGCCAGCACCGGCAGACAAGGATCAGCAGCGGTACGACGAGAACTCTGCCGGTGTTTGGGAGGACCTAAGCGCCGACAGTGCGGTCTCTTACCACGTTGGCGGCAAGGACAAGAACCAGTCACTCGGTAGGTTTTGCAGTACTGTGTGTACGAGATTTTACTGCTCTTATCGACAACAATCATTCTTACTTGAAAATTGTAGCACTACGTTTGTCGAAGACAAGAGGATACCGCATCTGCTTGAATCTAGGCCGATCCCTATTCTCAGCCGACACCTCAAAGTCTGTAGACCGGGGAAGAAAGTAATAATAATAAGCTTACCTTGAGTTTAGGCTTAACGAAACGGTAAAGACAGCGTTCCAAAAAGAAAACATTTATCGAAAATAGAGATGAAACAAAGCAGCTGGTTCATGATGCAAATAACTCGAGAAACATACAGCCTCTAGTCCTGTTGTGTTTCTTTGTCATCAATTTTTTTTTTAGCGCTGCTTCTAGTTATTTGCACCATAAAGATACCGCGTTTATTCCGAGTCGTCGTCACTGCTTCTTTCGTCACAGACTTCTCTGTCTCTGTCTTTTTCAAATAGGGCGCAGTCTTCGGTGCCATCAAGCGCATTGGTTATGCCCCGCTTTTTAAAAGAGCGCACAGTTAAAGTGCCGGGGATGTCGTGCCAGGCTGCAGCCCCTCCAGCCACGCACATTTTTTTTTTTTTTTTTCCACTCCGAAGTCCCACACTGAGCTGGTCGTGTTCTGGCAATTCTATCCACCACCACTCTTAAAAGTTAGGTTCTCACATGACCACCCCTAAAAAAAATGCCTGGCTACGGCCCTGCTTGGAGTCGCAGTGAACTATTTATTGTGTTAACACAGAAGCCACTTTCTCAGTTTCGTACATCAGGAGCAGCACTGCAAAGGCTAGTTTCGGTTCCTAGTGAACGCTCATGTGATGCGGTATGAGCTTCTTGTCGCAAGATATTGGGACGTTTCCATGGATGTCTGGCTGCACTGTTGTTAATGCGCAAGTGGCATCTTGAATGTTTTATGTCATGCACAATAGGCCATATTGCATGTTTGATACTTGAAGTTATCAGAACTAGCTGGACTATGCGTTCATTTGAATTGCCACTCTAGCCTGAAGACATGCTGATGTCCATTGGTGTGGTTCATTGGCAGATTCAGAGCACTTTCAGTAGCACTTTTTCTGCTCCCTGCAAAGTAAATATGTTTTACTGGCAGGTTGAGAGTGCTCCCTACATGTGCTATGGGCAGATCTGGAGCAGCTCTGTCGTGAGATCGACTCCAAGGAGCCTCGTGCCCTGGAACGGTGTCAACGGACGCTGGTGGCATTGGTCACGCCTTGCGTCAGAGCTCACGGTTTGCTAGCATAGCGTTGCTGTGCCTAGAGGGCCCACACATGCAAGAAGGGAGACATGCGCATCGAGTTCTATTCTGACCCTGCCATTTGCTCTAAAGGGAGCATGTGTGTTTCATTGTTAGATTCTCTTCAGTTGTCCTCCGTCAGAGTGGAGTGCTCCGGCGAGGCAGAGTTCATTGGCCACTCCAAATTCTCCACTGGATGACACCAAATGTTGTCAGTAGGTGTAGCATGTGAGAATTCGCTTCAGTATCATAATAAGACATCCGCATTTACTGGTCCTTGCACTTGCTCAGAGTGGTCTCTGCATTCAGGAGACCTGTGTGACGGAGTAAGCTAAGCTTTGAAAATTGGTGTCGGCACCCCTTTAGAAGTTCATCAAATGCAAGCAAGGTAGCATTTTGTGCAGTTATTAATTATTGGGCCCATCATTCCAGACTCTGTTAAGATCAAGAAAGAGAATGGCACCTCCTCCGGCGGTGGTGACTCGCCCGCCTCCGGGCAACACTCTGTGGTCACGTTTGAGGTGACCGACCTCACCTCTTACCGGTGCCGCCAAGTGGCCGACACGCACGAGCTCACGCTGAACCTCAGTGACGGCACGCGCCTGCCCACATTCATCTTCATCGAGCGCCGCTACGAGCACTTCATTCGAGCCCTGCACGAACACGTTTCCTTCAAAAGGTGAGTCGAAGAAAAACGGCGATGGCTGCTTTGTTTACCTTTCTGTGGGCGAGGGGTGATAAAGGGCGTTAGGTTTCCTCCGGAACGATAGAAATAGCGTGAAACGTGGAGGAAGGCTGAAATGGTAGTCTATGCAAGCACGAGCTTAAAACTTCCAAATTTCTTGCCGCATTGCTTTAGGATTCGTGGTGTTTGACTGCTCACGTGAAGGTCATATGATTAAATGCTGGCTGTGGCAGCTGCATTTTGATGCAAGTGAAATGCTAAAGGTCGGTATGATGAAATTCAGCGGCCCATTAAAGAGCCGCAGAACGTTGAAACGTCCGAGCCCTCCACTGTGTGTCCTGGGTACTCATAACATGGTTTTTGGGACAGGAAACCTCTGCAGCTATTATTACAACTTCCATATCAGAAAGAGTCCATCTGTGCAGATTAGTTTAATGTGTGGGCTAACAAATACATCTGTCGCACAATCTTTATGGGGCAAACACTGACAAAACATCAGCATTGGATCGCATGGAAAACAACTGCAAAGTGGGTGATAAACTTTTAGTTCTCTCAGATGTCTTGCACTATTTTATCGTTTTAATGACTTGCCCAGAAGTCCAGGCTTCTGGTGTTCTGGAATTCCTATGGCTCACCTATGGTGACATGGCAACGAATTTCTTTGTTGGCACTGGACCGGTGTTGCTCGCTGTTTGGAACTTGCCTTGTTGTGGAACTTGCATTGGTTTCATACACATAGTATGCACAGCAATTGGTCTGGGAAAAATTTGTGAAACTGATAAACTGGTTCACCCAATGATGGAGTAAATTTCTGGCATGTGCTATCTGTCCTGCAGTGGATGTAGTCAAGCTGTAATGATGATGATGATGTGCACTGACAGCAGTCTAACTGGCAGGTTGTTGTCCAATAAAAGGATGTGAAAGGAGCACCGCGACATAGAAGAAAAAAAAGAGCTTCAGCTCGAAGGTCTTGCTAAGAGGGGGCATAAGGTGCTGTACCTTAGGAGACAACTAAACTTCGGAACTTGGCCATGAACTTTGCCATTAATGTGCGACTCGCATTGTCAGCCTCCTTCGCAGCTGTGAAGTTACATTTTCATGCGAGATTTGTGTGCAACTCGCATCCAAACATAGTTCACATTGAAGGTATTCATTGTGACTTAATACTCTCAGAATTTGAAGGTATTTGTTACAAGCTGCCACTCTAGCGTCGCCAGCGCGAAGTCGGCGACGGGAATGACAGGAGGTCGGTTCGTTCCGTACGCAAGCAGAGACAGTGAAGAGATCAGAGACGTGAGAAAACAAAACAATTTTACTCTCGTGATATTGCAGCACACGGGATCTAATACAACACTTCAATACAACTAACAAAATACATCGACACTTGATACAACTAAAGAAATATATAACGGAAACAATAAATCAGCTTACGAGAGAGAACTATTACAAACTACACAAACTAACAAGAATAGAACGACGGAGGAGAAAGTTCGAAGATATAAACAGGTGAAGGCATACGTGTGATGACCGGCAGCGTTGTGTCCCCGACGATCGGATGCGAGAAGTCGAAGAGAGTTCTGGCACGACTGCGATGTCGGCGGTGTTGCAACGCTGGTGGCTCCGGGAGGCTAGTGCTTGCAGGTGACTTCGAGCAGGTTGAGCTAACTCGAGGCGAAGTCCCGATGTCTACGTTGCAGACGTTAATATCGCGTCACAACTAGACGAACGGCTAAGTTTAGGTGGCCAGCCGATACAGAGCCACACTAAAAACTTCTAGAAGAGATGCTGGTTGATCTGTTTCTACACCATCTTGGTCAGCGACTAGTCTGCCTAGCAGGGCAAAATCCTGCGCTTAAATCCCCCTCGTGTCTCCTCGCTCTCTTCCTTGGGGACAAGAGACATCTACATGGGTCCTATCATGCGCGTTTAATTGAGGGGAAACTCCGCCCCAAAAATATTTTGACCCCACCCCTTTTTAATTGGGAGAGGGCCCGCAACTAGCGAGAGTGACAACCTGTCGGGTTGTTGTCATACGGCTTGGCCACCAGAGCGTTTCCCACGCTTTTCCCCGTGGGAACGGTCAACCACTTAGCTCTCAGTGGGTGCGTCTTGTAGTCTAATCCTTGTTCGGGGTATACCGCGGCCTTCTACGAGGTGCGTCTTGTAGTCTAATCCTTGTTCGGGGTATACCGCGGCCTTCTACGACCTTGCAGACGTCGCCACAGTTACAAAAGGATTAACTGTCGGCGGCGACGTTCTAAGAAGAGCACCCCATTTTGCACTTCTCGGATCCCTTTCATGCGCCGCCGTTTCTCACGGTCAGTCGGGGAGTACGGCGCCCGTTAATTGCCGTGACGCGGTGTCGCCAAAAATGGCCGTCCGTGACAGTATTCATTGTGACTTAATACTCTCAAAATTACAGAAACTGGCACATCACTGAAGTTTTCACTGTGGAACTTTCCATTGAAAAAGCTTCCTAAAATAACACCCTGTACACACTCTGTTGCATAAAGGTATGAGATAACACCCTTTATGCACCCTGTTGCATAGAGGTGTCTGAGATGACATCATATACACACCCTGATTTGATTTGTGCATGTGATAACACCTTTTACACTCTCTTAACACATTCTAATAGGAACACCTTTTACATACCCTGTTGTATAAGGTGTATAAGATAACACCCTTCATGTACTCTCTTGCATAAAGGGGTGTGAGATGACAGCCTATAGATCCATTCCATGTTTGTAAACACAGGTAGGCCAATGTTGACATTATGGGTAAAATTATAGCGACGTCGGCACGTAACTTCCGTCATAAGCGCTGAGGGCTGTGATGTGCACCAACAAAACGACTTTGTGAAAGCCATAAGCGCTGAGGGCTGCGATGTGCGCCAACAAACAAAACTAAGTTGTGAGACGTGACTCGCATCCAGCCGTGACGCAGTTCGTCGGCATAACATTTATTCTCTCGTTGCTTGACTGGGAACACCACATGCACCATTGAAAACCCAGCATAAACTGCGGTAGGCAGAGCGTCTTTTGTCTACCAAGACAGCGCCACCGCATTTTCGTGACGTAAGTCCGGTGGAATTTGTCTATAGACCTTTTCTTACGGAGAGGAGGATTTCCTTCTTTCTAGGATGTTGCACGGGAATACAAAAGCCGATGCCACAGCCTTGGCAGTGCATTTTTTGGGGGTTACGCATGTTACCAACAGCCCAGAAAGGACTATGATGGGGTCCAGGGAGCTTTCAGTAAAAATTTCTATAATAGTCGTGATTTGATTGCTTTATGTGATAACACCATTTACTCTCCCTTAAGGGGGGGCGCGGCAAGTAAAGTGCCGATTTTGGTCAAAATATGCGATTTTCTGATTTATTTTTTTTCGTAATCTTCAGACCTTCAACTTCCTTGTTCTAAAATATTACAGCGGAACGTGCGCTACAAATCCCGCAAATAGTGTTTTTGCCGAGGCTAGTCGCCAAAAAGTGCGAAAAAAAAGCCCCTGAAACGGTGTTGTTCACGCCGCACAAACGCGCCAAGTTGTTGACCGTGGGCCGCCATTTTGGTAGCTTTGGAAAGAGGAGAAAGCCGGCTTCCCGATGGTCGCGGTCTCGTATTTCGCCGAGTGAAAATAAAAGCGCGAGGAGCAAGTAAAAAAACGAAAACGAAGAACGGCAATTGGCTGCGCGGGTCACGTGGTAGCAGGCGCGACCTCTTACTGGTCAAAGCTGCGCCGCGCACCTTGGCAACCTTGGAAGCGCGAGCGCATCTGCGGCCGCCGTGTCGAGAATCATCCGGCGTGCGCTTCGTTTTTTGCCAGTTTGCTGTTTTTGTGATAGTTCGCGTGCTTTTTTTTACCAAGCTTTGTTACATCGGTGGTCTCTTCTGAGTGCTTGCTCATACTGCGGTGCTATGTTGCCGCAAAAAAAGTTCCGGAGCGTCCACAAGTACGGCAAGCGTCGGAAAGCTTGGAACAAAGGGCAGACGACTGCGGCTGCCGTCCCAGTCGCAGTTCCGGACGGAGCATGCTCTTCGAGCGTCACGGAGCCTCTACTCAGACCCTTCGCTGATTGTTGTGAGGCCGAGAGTGTGGAAGGTGCCACATCGTCGTATGTCAGACCGCCGGATGCCGTCGACCGTGATGGACGCTCTCGCGAACCCGATTGCGGTGGCACCGCGTCGGCAGCCGTTGCAACTCCGGGCGTGCGCGCGTCGAACATTCTATCGCGAGTTTCGGCCCAGATTCCGAGCAGTGAAGAAATCGCGCAGCGGGCGCAGACAAGGCGGGATGTTTTGGATGCCGTAGCATCGAAGTCCGCTTCAAAGCGGAAGCTCGAGCTTCTGAACGAAGGCTGCGACGAAAATGACGGCGGTAAGGACTCCACATTCTTCATTGTAAATAAGAAGATGCTGAACGGTCTGCTTTCGTCAGTAAAGTGCAACAAGTGCGACGAAGGGTCGATACGCCTCGAGACTACGCACTGCCTTGGACTCGCGGCGAGGATGGAACTTTTTTGTGACAATTGTGGCAGAGTGAACAGTGCGTGGTCGTCCCCGAGGTGCTCCGGGCAACAAAAAACGAACCCCTTTGAGGTAAACGTGCGTGCTTTGAGGGCTGTGCAGTCAGTTGGCAGAAAACAATCTGCCATAAATGACATTTTTTCTGCGATGGACATTTCGCATCGAGCACTGCACCACAAGTCCTACCAGAGACTGCAAAGGAAGTACAGCCACCCTGCCACCACATCAGCTGCCACCCGCATTGAAGCAGAAAGTGCACAGAAGGTGCATGACATTTACAAGGACCTAGGAGGAGTGCCAGGCAACATTGACGTCATTTACGACGGCACGTGGATGACGAGGGGGCACAGAAGTCATATTGGCGTGGGCTGTGTAATCGAGCTGTACACAGGCTTGGTCTTGGACCACTGTGTCCTGTCCAACTACTGCCAAGGCTGTGCTGTTGGCCCCAAGCCTGGTGACGACAAC